ACTCGCAACGAACTGAGATATAGATACCTATAATGTATATTTCATAATAATAGGTGACCTTTACGAAAACAACCCGGACGTTTGTATTTCGCCGCAAACACCGTGGTGTGATGCAGTTTTCTAAAAACGGTCTCCGCCGAATATTTCGTTAACAATATACGCGTATAAAATCGTTATACGGTATATTATAATGATAAAATGTACCGTTATGTCGGTGCAATCGACACAAAAGTGATTCACTTTTCTCTCTCTCTATATATATATATATATATCTATACATACGTATAAAATGATATGAACCTACATAGCGGAGGATATTACCCAACTAGACTATAATATAATAAAACGACCTAACAGGGAATTGTGTCATCGTCGTGGTATGGGTCCGTGTGCGTTACAATAGACGAACGCCGCCGCGGCCGCCCGCACGAGATTTTCAAAAGATTTAGTCCCTGCGACACGTCTTGTATGATGTAACGAAAAAGGACACGTTCGAATATGTTCCGAAATCAAAACTATTATATACCTAGTATATATAGGTTTGTTGTAATAACACGCCATTGTGCGTTTAAGGTATTCGATCGGACAAAACGTTATAAAATCTATAAGAAATCCGAGAAAAAAATCGTATACCTAGTTTTTGTTTGCACCCCCTCCGAGGATCACGTGGCAAATTTGATTTCGTTTGATGTATATAGCGGAATCCCGGGCGGGTCCGGCGACTTATTTGTTTTAATGTGTTACAGCTAAATACACAAATCTTACATCACACACTGAGAAACTTTTTAAGCCCGATTAAATACAGTTTTATTGAAAAAAAACATGTAGACATTTATCGACTTCCCATCGATACTCCTGGGAATGTGGACGTTTGGCTGGGGATAGACTAGGTACAGGTGGAATTTCCATTATTTATATGAAAAATCAATTAAAGTAATTTTCAAAGCACGCAATTCAAAACAAACACAGTCCATCATCGGTTAGGTTTTGTTTCGTTGTATATGATTGGATTTGCGTTATTTTCACTTAGCCGATAGACCAAGAAGTTTATACGCGAAATAAAGCATAAGACATCATACTCGCGCGCGATGATAACGGAAATTCATACGCAAAGTAACGTTAACAATTCCGATCAGCATAATAATAACAATATTGTTTCCAATGTCGTTCTACGAGTTTCTGAAGCGAAATAACGAATTTTAACACGATCTTCCCCGAGTTATTATATCAATTCGTCGTTTTACCTATAGAGTCGATCGACTTACCAAGGTTTCCCTGTAAAAACATAGTTTTTTTGGTTTTTGAAACAATTTGTTATTATACTCAATAATGCGTACTCGGATAAAACACACTTATAGATAACTACACATATTCGAGTAACTGTAAATATAATTTATATTATAATATAGATATACCATACGTCACTTTCTATGTTTTTTTTTTTTTTTTAACACCGTCCCCGTTTCAAAAGTATATAATTAATAATAATAATACATTATACGAATATTGTAAATAATTTTCCGAACAAACGGCAAAGTGTCACCGTATTTTTTTTGTTTTTTTTTTTTTTTTTTTTTAGATTTATACCGCGACGACGACGCATGGGCGAAATAAAAAAAAAAAAAAACAGATTTATGCGACTCTCAGGACCCGTTGCGTCAAAACGTAAAACTGCAGCGGCAGACTCGTCCGCTTCATTATTATTCGAAAAGTCGACTCGTAAATCAATTACCATTACACCTATTTTATTTATAAATTTATTAGGTTTTTTTTTTTTTAATAAAGAATTATTTATATATATATGTATACGCTGGTTTTAATTATCCCGAAATGTTTGTTGTCCGCTTGTCGTGTTAGCCGCACACGGAGCGGACGAGCGGTGTGTAATAATAATAAACGGATACCGAATTTATAATATCCGCCCACGCGTATACGTATACGGCGAGCGTGAGAAGAGGATCGCGGAAAGAAAAAGAAGGGAAAAAATAAAAAAAAACCACTCGCTATATAATATTATAATAACACGTAGGTATACACTCGTGTATTTATTTTTAACGAAACGGCGCGTGTTTTTAACGAGATTCCAAAAATGATTTTCGAAACACTATATTGCGCGTAAATATATATATATTGTACGCGTATACCGGAAACATGACGCATATACACGGGAGCAGCGGCTCGTTCGGTATACATTATTTCTGTGTTCGAAAGCGCGCAAAATGGTCGGGACGGGGAACGATGACGGGCGATGGATGGGTGGGGATGGGAGGGGGAGGGGAGGGGGGGTAGGTAGGACGGCGGTCCTGTGGGAATCGGCGTTTGAACTGCCAGTTGATTGGGTCGGACACCGGGATCCGAGCGTGGGGAGCGATGGGGTGGGGTTGAGAGGACGGCGGGAGGGGGCGAGGTGGTTAGAAAAACACGGTCGAACGCGCGGAATGTACACGTGCGTGCGTGTTTGTGTGTGTGTGTGTGTGTGTGTGTACACACGTGCAGCGAGCGCACATAGAAACGAAAGAGAAATTTTCGGGGGCGAACTCCGCACGCCAGCGTGTTGTTTCGGGGGTATGATCCCGACGGATTATACGGTATAATAATATTACAATATACTATATTATTATAGGATATATTATTATTATACATCTGCACGGGATGAAATGACGAAATGGGCAAAAACGCGCGTTTTCTCTTTTTTTTCGACCTTTCGGTCGATTCGATAAAAGTATTAAAATACCGTCTGTACAAAAGAAACAATACCGCGATCTCAGACAAGAACGGGCGTACGCGGGAAAAACGATTCAATTTCTAAAGAAAAATCCTGGCGTTTTTGAAAAGTTCTCGAAAAATAAAAGGAATCGTAACAATATAATAATGGTTATACGACAAAATATCTCCGTCAAATTGTTTTCGTTATTGTACACATTTAAAATAAATAACGCGGAAAAATGTTTTTTTTTTTTTTTTCAAAATTTTATAAAATAAATAAATATTTAAAAAAATGTACGTATATATTATTTACACACAATAACTTATGAAAATTTGAGGTTGTGTGTAATTCTTTTTATAGGTAATACGAACGCCGGGCGTTTCGTTGAATTTTTACACAACGTTCTATATCATTTCATAGTAATTTATATATATTTTTTTTCTTTGGAAATATTTCATACCCGGTTATATTTTTTCGAATAAGAAAAGTGAATACTATGAATTGGAATTAAAAAGAAGTCACTGAAAATTATTTCGCCTCGATATTCTCGGACGTTAGCGGAATACCACGCTACATACTCTCGCGAGTACGTAAGTATCTCATAGAACGAATAATATATAATTATTATAATTATTATAATTTCAATAACAATACCGGTGGCGGCTCGAAGGAAGTATATTTTAACCACGCGATTCGCCATAAACCGCGTGGACGGATCGTGGGCGTTCAGAAATATGACAAAAATTATTACGTTTTTCAAAACTGCAAGTCTTTAAAGGAAGAATTTTAGAATTTTAGGAACTTCGATAAATTTGACAAATTTTATTGAAGTCCAACAAATTCCAACACACGTTCGCGGTAGGACGGGGGTATTTTCGGGTCGGGGTGGACGGGCGGGCGAGTGGAAAATCGTACCGGCGAATCAAGGTGAAAATACACCGGGCCGCCACTGAACAATACGCCTGCGTGCCTAAATCGCCGGGCGTTTAAAACACCCGTTGTGCGTAAACTTGGGTATATCGCGATAGGTATTCGTAATAATATTTACTATACACAGTGTATTACGCGGACGCGCGTCGTTCGCGCGGTACGGCGGCGGGGATCGGTAAAGCCGTTTTCGGCCGGTAAAGGAGCGCGGCCCCGCCCGAGGGGGTTAACGGGTCGACGGTTTTGTCGGGGCACGCGGCGGCGAGAGGGAGGGAGGGAGGGAGGGAGAGAGGGAGAGAGCTCGCACGGAAATCTGACACAAAGATAATACGGGCGCGAATGATAAACGGTCCGCGCAATAGAATGTCAACCTAATGGATGATCGATGATCCGGTCTCGGGTTTCGGGTTCTCGTCCGGCGGCCGCGGCGGAGGAGAACGCGGGCGGCTACGCGCTTGATGCCAGCGGCCCTCTCCTCCGGCCGCCCGTCCCTTCTCCTATATATTCCTGTGTGTATGTATATACGTGCCGGGGCCTTCTCCGCGGTCACCGAGCGCGTGTTCGCGCAAGTGGAAAACGAACGCCGTTCTGCTGCTGCGGCAAACACAACGAAGATGAAAACTCAAACATGGCCGACCGACCGCCGCCACCGCCACCGCGTTGGCACGGGCCAGAAGAAAATCCAATTAAGCCCCGAGGGCTGCCCCGAGGCGACGGGATTTTTTCCCCGGCGCTCGTGTTTTTTTTTTTTTTTGATATATATATACGGTCAAAAAAACAAAAAATAATCGTATAAAAAAAAAAAATAATAACAATATTTTTTAGACTACGCAGAAACGCTGCCGACGACTACGAACGCGGTTATCGGCGCCATCGTCCGTTCACGTGGCAGTTTAATACAAATAATAATAAATTGAAAATCATCCGTAAACATATTTTTATACCGAACTATTGTCTACGCGCGTCGTCGGTTCTCGGTTTTTCGATCGGTTAGAATATTCGGCCCGCAACGAGTATGTTCACTAGTAGAGGGTATGATTTCATTGACCCTTAAAAGTTTTACCGAGTGGTGTGAAATCGCAACCCCCCCCTCCCGGTAAATTATCACGGGGCTCAATAATCACTAACACACCGCGGTCATATATTAACCGTCGACTACCGAGCAAAAACTCGCAAGTCGATTTTTGTTTGTTTACCGGCGATCGTGCTCCAATCGATGAAATTTATACGAATTTTCGGTATAGCCGGTTTTGATCGACTTCCCTTGTATATATATTGTTAAGACTTGCCCCTATATAGTTTTAGTAGCCCAGGATGTAACGACGCCACCGACGTATATTTATACATATTATAGTGATAATCGAAGAATTCAAACGTATAATACGTTTTCGTTTCGACGTTATTGTTCCCGGGGATTATATTATACCACGCGATGTCCGTACGCTCCGACCGAGCGTAAGAACACAGTGATCCCGAAAGGGGCCGATCAAAACACATATGTGCAGACGCGTGTACGTCGACGCAGCCATTACTGCCGTTATACACCGCGGTTAAGTTTATATAGAGTTTAACGGTCGTGCATTTATGCGCAATTATTGTATTGAAAAGAGCAAAGGCTAAAGGGAGAAACGTTGTCCGGAGTTATTTCGGATGGTCCTCCGGTCGTTGTTTTTTAAACGCGAGTGCAAATACGCGATAATATTAGTCCCGTGATAGTCATAACGGTTATACGCACTGCGCACAATGTCCGTTTTTATAATTTTATACTCGAAGAAACTATCACGTACTCAACACCTCCGTTTACCTATACCTATCAAAAGAAATAATAATAAAAAAAAAGAACAGTTACTGCTGATGAGTGCAGTAACACTTGCGCCACTGTTACATGGGTGTGAAAGTCGCGAGGTAGAATGCATACACGGTAGAGTTGTTCGACGGAGTTATTCATACACCCGACGATAATAAATCGGTGCTAACCGAGAACGATTCTGAACCGAAATTACACGAAACGTGTCGCGAAGTGCCGCGATTATTATCTTAGCAAAAAAAACCACCATTGTAATACGTTTCACGCAGAATCTATAAGAAAAATGTACGCGATAAAACGGTGCTGGCGGCGGCGCTATAATAATGATATTTTTTTAACCATCCGGAAAACCGTTCTAATTAATATATTTCGCACGCGTAATTTTTTTTCCTTTAGAATTAGGTTTTCAATTACGTTAAAACAATATTAAAAACTACTGTTCCGAATAGAAAAAAAATGTATATACTCTACCGCCACGCTACATTAAACAATTATTACAAGCGCGTATTACAATAATAAGGCCGGCGTCGCGTTATAACAATGTTAAAAATCCGAAACCTTAAAATAATTTATAAATTATAATTTCATAATTTTTCGTCTTGTTTAAGATTTAATTTTTTTACATTCTTCGACCTTGAAGTCGCGCAAATAATGTATATATAGAAAATTAATCTGAACGACTAATTATACGGTACCCGTATACGTATTACGGTTTTCTATCTTACAATGCGTACTTACTCGTTACACGGAAATGTTATTTTAATTTTATACTAATTAAATATTTTCGGTACCTCGTTCGCGGACCGTTTTCAAGGAATTAACGTGTATAACATTGTTTACGGTGTTAGATTTATCGCATAGCGGTTACGTACGAGATGCGTATGTATTATGTATAAAGTTCGGTAGGTTTTTTTTGTGTTGTTTTTTATTTTTTCTTAACTATTTAATTATAAGATGTGCAACTAGTAAATTAACACCGACGACGTCTAAACACAATCGCGGTCTATCGAAAAACATACGCTGTAGCAAGTACCCGTAATATGTTTTTTGTACTTGGAATATTATTACAATTTAATATTTTTTAGCTTAATATTTGTTGAATAACTTAACGCGTATACCTATTTTTTATTATTATTATTATTATTATTATTATTATTATTATTACTATTATTACTTGTTTAAACATCTATGAACGTCTCGGCTCGGGTTCGCTGCACGATGTGCGCGGGTAGCAAATTATAGAGTTGTGTATATTATATACGTACCCGATACTCGTGTACACGGTATTTTTTTTTTTTTTATATAATTGAAATTACAGATTAGGTATCGAATTATAATACAATATACAATATATATATTTATTATTTAATTACAATGCGTAATTACTTATTTCCCGCGCAGCGCAACGTGTAGTTTACAGGGCTCGTTAAAACACTCAAAACAAGTCCCCGTACATAGGTATATGTTTGAAACGTTTTATATACGTTCGAAAATTAAATTAAAATTACTTATGTTATGTTCTGAAGAGCGAAAATATTTACTATAGATGTAGATCTTATATTCGGTCTGGAAATATTAATGAAAAGGTCCATTCTGTTACTTTTGTGGTGAAGAAGTCGCCATTTTTTTTTTTTATTCAAAATAGAAATGACGGCGAAATTGTTATAGTTTTTTTTTTTTTTAAACTGATAGTTTTTTTGAAGGTGGACACGATTCCGTCGGTTCGTTTCAAGACGCACCAGAACCGCGGTATAAATTTAACCTGAAAGTATCCTTTAGCGGGTTTTTTCGATTTCTGAAATTCAGATTAATAGATTCTATACGATTTTTGAAGCATATTTTAACGATTTCAGCCTACTCAATTATATCAACGAAAGACGGTACACAAAATGATAAGGACATCTACAATAGCTGCGTAGATATATATTATATAGTTTGACGTAGAAGTGTGGAGGACGTATAAAAGCCATATTGGAAGAGGCAATAGACAAAGGACGAAACACGAAGAAGAAGTGAATATTAAATAGGATTTAAAGGCGTTAATAAGTCGCGAAATTTAAATCTTGGTAAATACCAAGATTTTGCTCGGCCAAAATATATTTCCGCCAGATGACCATATTATTTTTGTCCGCGTTTACGAGTATAGGTACACCGATATTATTACCCGTCTAAACATACATGCGCGGTATTAAAATAATCGTCAATTATATTAATATTATTATTACTCTTATTGTTATTATTATTATTGATTTCGATTTATCGCAAAATATCAGTAATGTGTGTATATATATACACACGAAACGTCGCCAATAATATCGTGTAAGCCACCGCACGTCTCATTAGAGCGGTAAAAAGAACATAATACAGAGTATTATATACGGATAGTACTTAAATCGACAGTGTAATATAATATTTTATTGGTCAAGCGACCGCTATAAGGGAATATTTAATAAAATAAAAAGAAACCTACTGCAGAGCGGACGACGACGTTTTTTTTTTTTGCCTTTACAATTATATGTATATACTTGTGATGCTGCTGCTGCAACTGCAACAACCAATATCGACGGACAAAACTCGTTTAGCGCATGTGAATATCGAATAATACAATATATCTGCTGCTGCCGGTCCGCAGTTGAAAAATAAAAAACAAATACGACGTTTTCTGTTATTCCCCCCCCCCGTTAAAACCCGATTGTTAATAGTTGACAGATGAACTGTCGATTACGTACAACTATTTATACTGTTGCTACCGTCGTCGTCGTCGTCGTACGCTTGTACATATTATTCTATATCTATAATAATAATATGACGGCACGACACTAATAAAGTAATTACAATAACCGCTGCTGAACAGCACCGAGTTTCTCCGGCGATGGAAACCTCGTCGTCCGCTATTATACCGACAAAATAATAATAATAATTAAAAAAGGTACTTATAAACAAAAAGAATGTAAACGGCGGCGCCGCAATGGCTTATATCATTAGACGCACGTGTGAAAGTTTATTGCGCAAAAATATTTTTAGAACGTTATATCGGTCCGGAAACTCGGATCCAAAAATGGCCGGACGGGTTTTTTCCCGGTTTTTCACATTTGCTGGGAAAACTCCTGGAAAAATTTTAAAATTACCTCTCTAAAGTACCTCTCCATTCAGGCTTTCTTTTCTAACAAATTTACCACGGAATACCTACCGAATAAAAATTAGGTATAAAACTCGCAAAATGAAAATGTTTATAAATAACCGATAATGGCATACATTTTTTTTAAATTTTTCCTAAAATAAAAAAGGCAAATATAGGTTTTCCGTCCCAGTTTCAAGTCTCTATGAATATTTTTAACTGAATAACAACAAATAACAAAGTTGAAAAACAATACAATTTTTCTTACGTTTTATCGTGTTTTTTTTTCCAGATATCACGAAAACCGCTTGGAAAATCAAAAAAAAAAAAAAAAACAACCTCCTAATGTGCCAACAGGACAACATACTCTTTCGGAAATGGTGCCACGCGTATACATCTGAACAAAATTTCTGATCGAATTTTTGTACACAGTATAAAAAAAAAATAAACATATAAACATCTTAGTAAAACCAATACATTATTCGCAACACTCAGATACTAAAATACAATTCACATTATAATCCGCACTCTAAATTAATCACCCTACACTACACATGCGCGTAAACGTAAACGTAAATTTCTCTGGCGTTTATATTATTATACTTTTACGACCGCAAGACTCGAGTGGATATCCCAAAGGTCTCGAGCCCGTCTCGTTTTACGCGTTGAACGACGATATTCACGTAAAAATACGTTGTTTTCGGTATTTTTACACAAACAACGGCCAAGTATTTCAATAAATTTAACCGATTAAAGTTAAAAATCAATTATTTAAAGAAGACACTATATACCTGTACGATAGCTGACCGAGTTATTTTCTAATATTCTAACTATTGTTTAATTTCAACAATCATGTATAAATTAAAAAATATATTATTTAACTACTTTTAACCCTCCGCGATAACCGTACACCGTTCAATAATTATTACTGTCCCGTAGTATAGCGTTATTGTCGTTCATCGAGAACCGTTACATTTTTTCTGTTCGTTTAGCCTCGATCGCGTGCGCGTGCTGATAAAAAAATTGTACAGAGTTTCGCTTATATTCGCGTTATACTACTTTACTCGCGAGTCGTATACGCGTTTCGATTGTCGCGAATTCCAAGAATCTCGCGCAATATTCGCGCACCCATACGTGAATTTCATAAAAAAAATTCGGCCCGACTATTGTATACATGATATGTTCCTATACATACTATTATTATGGCGATTATTGCTTTCAGCCGGAAAACTTTAGCCCCGACGCGAACGTGCTTGGCCTGGGAATGTACGCGAGAGCGCGCGCGTGTGATGGGAACGAATATAAGGAAAAAAAAAATAACACGACATCGGGCGTTCGTCCGTCACGTCACACTTATGTACCTATACCGTCGGGCCAAAAAAAAAAAAAAATAAATAAAAAAACAAATAAAGCCGATACAGCTGATGACGGGCGTGTTTATACGGAGGGAAGTCGAAAGGGCCGAAGATACACGGAGTAATTTCATTCGCGTGTCTATACGCGGTGGCTAACGAAAAAAAACGGTTCTGCGCAGAGTATATAATCTGCAGTTGTATTTTTTTCCCTTATATTGTTACCGAGGTAACCCGGAAAACAACGAAAATCGTATACGAAAAAATTGATGGTTTTCGCGTTTATTGAGACCGCCTGAATAAAAAAGAAAAAAAAACCGAAAAAAAAATACTACAAGAAAGTTCTTTTAAATCTTTGGGTCGGACCGATATTTCTGGTAGAAAATTCGTCTACGGACACATAAAAAAACACATCCTCGGATGAATCACAGATAAAATATTTAAAAGCAATATCGCGCGGAAAATAATACAAATTTACCTGTATTCGCGATACACGTATGACGACGACGGGACGACGACAACGACGATGACGATGGAAACGGCCACTGTCGCTTTTCCGCAGTATTATAAACGACATATTATTATCAACAGCTTAAGTAGTGACTGCAATCAGTCATTCGTAAAACACTGCGGCGATAATGCACTGCGCCGGCGACTAACATATTAATGGGTTTTTTAATTTTTTTACTTGCGAAACGCAACCGAAAATCGTGACCGACGCGCGTCCATTCCGCGGGCGCCGATCGAAATACTAATTTTTTAACTCGCGATTTTTATTGCCGCATTGTAAACCGGGAAAAAAAAGAAACACTGCACCTATGGATATTGCAGGAAATATATGCGTGTACATATATACAGGTAAGTTACCGGCGTATCATAATAATTTTACGGTCCTCACAGAAAAAAAAAACAGCCGTGTGTTCTGCAGCATGCAGGTGACCACCCACGGCGGACGCCCGACGGCGAATTTTCACTACATTATATTAAATTATTTGTTCGCGTTTTTTTTTTTTTTTTTTTTTTTTAACGACGAATAGAGATTAAAAAAAAAAACGCCAATTGTTATCATTGCAATATTATTGTACTGCGCGAGACGACACCGACAGTATACATATAATACAGAATAGAATACACGCGCAGGCGAACGAATATTACGTGCAGTGGCTACCGGTGTTCCCTCCCCCCCTCCCGAAAATTGCGTATACACTTATATACCTATACGGATCTGAAGAAAAAAAAAACACCTACCGATCGAATATTATTGTAAGAACGGCCCGATAAACAGCGGGTAGGTACCGATACGCACTTATGAAATACACAACAGCAATAAAATAGGTCGTGTTACCCGACTGTTGTACAAGTGGAACGAATTTCTTCGGATTTAAAGGTATACACAAAAAAAAAAAAAAAAACGGGCCGAACGCGACCGTATCGATATCGTGTATCACAACACTGCTGGTGCTGATGCCGGGAGTCGTGTGTGCACTGTAATATTATTATTATAAATGACCGTGGTAAAAAATACGATTCGTATTGTCTGTACATAGGTGTGTATAGAGGAAATAATTTCGAATCGACGTTAAATTTCTTTTTATAATTATTGATCCATGTACGTTGCACATATATTTCGTACGAAATTGTTTTCATCTCCCTCTTTCACTCCTGTCGAACAAAAAGTTCCGAGCACACGCGCCGCCACTGTTATAATAATAAGTTACTTTTAGTGCGCACTTAACGATCGGTTAAAGTGTAAACTTCCAGGTATGTTTCCGCGTATTTTAAATCGAGTTAAATAATTCTTGTCGTAGGCAACTTTTGACTTAACGAGGTTGAAAAAAAAATGATTAACTCGCCCGGCCTAAACAATAAGCTGAAACGAAATAACATCCGTGCTATTTACACGAACGTAATAATATTATTTTTATATTGACAATACGATTTTTACGAGCCGTTAAAACTATTTGTATGTCCAAAAGCAAACTAATTTGTTAAACGTTTAAGCGGGTATAACGTCATGTGATACGCCGCTAAAAACGTAATTAAACACGAAACCCGACGCGTATTGTATAAATATTTATAAAACTGTATTTTATTCAACGCGAAACCACAATGTCAATTATTAATAAAGATTAAATACCGCTGCTATAAAAAGACGTACCCACAATGAAAAAACAAAATTCGAAATATTTGTGTTCGTCTAAATATAGGGTACCCCACCAAAAAACTATAAAGAATACAGCGACGGTCGAAACAAAAACCGAAAAATAAAAAAAAAACAATGTTGTACGACCGAAATTGGCTACAAACAAGGATAGTGTAATAATAATAAATCGTATACCAACCATATATAGAAATTCGAGAGTAAAATTATGCACACAAAATGCGATTCAAAAGACCTACTGATGGAACACGAATGCATATTGTAGTATATTTTTTTCCTTCGGGATCAGGATTTGAAGATGGGAACGCAGATGGGACTGATATAGTCGGATAATGAGTATAATATATAATATTTTTATGAGCAGTACGTGATTTTTACTATAGATTCTTATCGAAAACGTGTCCGTTTTACTTACAAACGAAACCGGTTGAAAAATCTTTAAAAAAAAAAAAAAAAAACGTTACCACGAAAAGAGAGAAAAACTTGAAAACATTTCTATTAAACTCCGGGCACGTACTGTCGATAACGACGTGACATTTTGAACCGCGGGGAAAAAAAGAAAAAGAAAAAATATTAGGAATGAGTAATAGAAACGCGAAAATCCGCGTCCGTAAACCTTCACGGATACTAAATTATTAATTATAATATTTAATTAAAATGCTTCGAAAACGAATATTTTATTCTATACATAATATCAAATAAAAAATAATAATATTCGATTTTAACGTTTTAACCGTAAACGGAACGGGGCAATAACAATATTATGGTTGTAAACTATATAATACCAATAAAATGAGATCGAAAACGCACGGGGTCTGAAACTCGCGCGCCATCTACTGTCGTCTGACGGACCGACGGACCGCGGGTCGTAAATCGTGTCGCGCGACATCTAACGGTTTTGCGGTGTGGACGCGGAAACGACGACTACTACTACTACTACTACTACTACTACTACTACTACCACTACTACTACTACTACTACTACTACTACTACTACTACTACAATTCCATTGCGACTACTCGCGGCGGCGGCGACGACTACGTCGACGACGGGCCGGGGCAGTAATAATGTAAATTACACCCATTAAACTGCCGTTTTCGCTTCTTAATGGCCCGTTTTTATTACCCGGTCCGGACAACAACTTGTATACGTGCGCGTTTGTGTGTGTGTGTGTGTGTATATGTGTGTTTATTCTCTCTCGCTCATTCACAAGCAGTAGCATTCGTGCGGTAGTAGTAGTAGTTGTAGTAGTAGTAGTAGTAGTTGTAGTAGTATTTTAACGTCCATAACCTGGCACAATGGTATTCTACTTAGGCCGGGCCAGCCGCCGCCGCCACCACCGACGACGACGACGGCGACGGCTTTGCGAACGCACACACACAGTCGTAAAAATAATAATAAAATACGTTTTTCGACCTTGTCGCGCGCGCGAGAACGGCGGCGTAAGGTAATAAAATATACTATACGACAACCACGTGGTTATTGTTATTGTTATTGTTGTTGTTATTGCTGCTGCTGCCGTTGTTGTCCGTTTACGTTCATAGGCGCATGCCTGCTTCGCGGCGGCGGTTAACGACATGCGATTACGTTCGCGGATGAATGGAAACGTGAGGACTTTGACCTTTGTCTTTTTATCCCGCATGCGTACGGGTCGGTTACGTCCTGTACGGCTGCGGCTCCCGGCGGGCACCGCGGCGATTCGTCGTTTTACGAATAAATCACGACGGCGCCGGCGATACGCTATTTGCGCGGGTACCCCGGCCGCGTGTATTCGCACTCGAATCTCCCGTTTCCCATTTATAGGATTCTGCTCTAGCACGGCGGCCAACGGCATCGTCGCGTTCACGAGTCGGTCACTGTCGCGTTTGTCGTGCGACGATATTTCGTTAGCTACTTCGCTTGCCGACGCGTGCTACTATCCCCGTATCACTGTATCGCGCACACGACTCTGTTGGTGCGCGCGATTTTCCGACACTGAAAATAGCACTGTGGCGTTCACTAGCAACAGTGAACGAAACTCCTCGGTGCAAAACGATTTCGGCAATTCGTCGCTTTCCATTTTGTTCGGTAAAAATAATTGTAAAATCTGCCGGTTTCGGCTCGGTTTGCCCGCGTGTATTTTTACAATGTTTTTGTCCCGTGGAATTTCGACGATATTGTTGCACGACAGCTCCATCTGTCGGACTGGCCGCGAACCGATAAGAATTGAACGCAACGTCATTACAAAGGCATATTACCACTCGTGAATAATGTCGGCGTAAGAAAGTACGTCGTGTCCACTGCTGGCAAAGCGATTTTTGACCGGACCTCCGCCGGACTCGACGTCCGGACGACGATAAATCTCGACGTAGACACGAAACCCCCACCCCCCACACACCCCTCAGAGATAACGAATCGGAATTTCGTAACATTATTCTAGCCGCGTCATTATAATAATATTGTATTGTACACCGCAGATCGATATCGGCCGGTTAGACGCTTTTCTGTCGTTCGGACACTTCATTTCCGGCAACGGCAACAACAACAAAATAACAACGGCGGCGGCGGCGGTTCGGCCACAAGCCACACCTACGCACTTCCGGCGGCCCCGCCACACCCCTCTGCTGTGTACCACCGCCGCACCGTCACGGCGGCGATTGTTCCCGGCCTGCAGTTTAATAATTATTATCGCCGGCCACGGTCGGCCGACCAGATTAGAGTAGCCAAATAATTACAGGTTAGCCCGGTGCTGCGGTGTGCAGCTCGTGTGTATGCGTGCGTGCGTGCGTGCGGCTGTGCGTGCGCGAGTGCGTGCGTTGGGCGATGATAAGTGCCCCTGCAGGTAGAAATATAGGGTCGCGCGAGGAGGAGTGAGAGGATGGGACAAGGTTGAGGGGTAAAAAGTCGGACGGAGAGGACGAACTTTTTAATAGTGGGGGGGGCGAGGGGCAGGAGGGGGGATAGGGGAGGCGGGAGGGGGGAAAGGGGAGACGCGAGGGGATCTCGCGGTTACCTATAGCCGGGCAGATGGTATCGCCGCCGCCGCCGCCGTCGGACGGGAACGACATTTCGTCGGGTGTGGTTGCGTACTAAACTACGAATACCACCCATGTTGAACCCGTGCCGGTTGTATTGCTGTACGCTCGCGGGACCCGGAGGATATATTATAACGAAATAGAAAAAACGTAATTTTATAGTCGGTATACCCGGCGAATCGTCACACACACACACACACGCCCATCGTATCCCATCTTTTGTTTCTCGGTCGTAGTCATTGTCGTCGTCGATTCGGTTCCTCGCTTCCTCCTCCTCCTCATCTTCCTCCACCTCGTCCTCCTCCTACGGGAATCTACGAACGGCCAAAAACTAGTTTGTTATTATTATCGCTTATTTATACATACGTATATTTGTTTTGCGGTAAATGTTGTGGAATCGGTTTTTGATATTTTCATTTTTAAGCGGAATAGGATGATTTTAAAATTCTAATGTTTTACACATTCGTAACTCGTTTGAAAAATCTAACGTATAAATATATAAACAATGTTCTTATCTTTAGGTTTAGTAATTGACAAATACACCCCAATGTTAGAATTAACAGCACACAATCGGTTTTCGTTCGCGAAAAAGTATAAATACGATAACAGCGTTAATCGATTTCACAACGTTTACCGTCACACATATACATACACACAACTGCGGTATACGTGTTCGTTAAATCGCCGGTAAGTTTGTCATCGGTATGAATAATGCCGAAGTCGTTTGGGTAGAACGTGTGCAGACAATCGACACGAAAATTATAATATTCGTTATAGACACGAAGATAAACCGTGTACAATAAAAAGAACGCGCAGAAATAATAATCCGAATTAAAGCTTACACGCACATTTCCCGATTTCGCGTGTAATTCGAATCTATAATAATCGCGTACACGTGTAATATTATTCACGTTTACACGTACGTAGTATATTCACGTATTTACGGGTTCTGTATAACATCGTACAATTACGCATACGTATTATATAGGTACACTAAGTCTTAAATCGCGTAAATTAATTGACCGGGGGAAAAAAAACCCGTTAAATCGGTAAAAAAGTTGCTTGAAAAAATACGGCTGTTCGAACCTATGTTTAGCGTTTCGGAAATCACGATCTTTCGAGTGGGGGGGGGTAGGGGGGAAAAACAACACTCCCGTTTAAAAGCGCGTCCGGCCGAAATATTTCCTCGTTACCGTTTCGGGCGAAACCGCACACGTGTGCCGCCGATACGCGTTAAAAAAAAAAAAAAAAAAAAAAAACGAAAACCGCGTCTACGAATTAATTCCGGACGTAAAACACGATTTCGGTTTACCGTTTTACACGTTTCATTATATTACGCGAGAACGGCGACCGCGGCCGGCGACCCGTTTGTTGAATGTAATAATATACGGAATAATTAGCGAAACAATGTTCGACATGATTTATTACATGCGCCGCGGCCCGTATATTATTATTTATATCATTATTTTGGCCTATGCGATGAGATCGGTATTTCTACGATAATAGTCGCGTATAACAGTGTAAACGAGGGGTCGCGGGTATTTGTAATTTGTATTATACGCCATAGTAATAATAATAATAATAATAATAATAATAGTGTGTATTTGGTTTGAACAATAGTTGAAATAATTCTCGCGAAACATAATCGGAATATACTAATATATCGAATAAAGAATTTAGATAAAAAAAAAAAAAAAAACAAACACTAACAAATAGTACATCTATACGTATACGTTTATAATCGCATATTTTGATAGCATGTATAATGCCGCGCGTTTTTCCGTTTTATCATCAGAAATGGGACGACTTTCCGATTTTTTCCCCCGCCCAAAACTCGTTTCGCAGACTCGGATTTCGGAACGTTATTCGAAATTTCGCATATTTTTGCTTTTTTTCTCGTTACAAACGAATTTGTATACGTGTACACAATTCGAATCGATAATTTTTATTTTTTTTAAATCATCGAAGTCTCTGCGGGTCTCTAATAAGTGGTGGCGTTTTTTACGGCTATGTGCGCAAATTCCGGAACCGCACCGATACGTCACGAGATAAAAGCCGTTGGTTTTTTTTATTTTTCTCATTTTCAGTCGTCTATACGGTATTATCTAAAGAAATTATCCGAGTGTACGCACGATATTGTAGCCTGCAGTGCTCGCCTGATTAAAATATCGTGTACGACAGTGAACGATTCCGTTGCGGTGTACAAAGACTAAATAAGTAATAATATATACATATATATGTATAAACATATTAAATTATATATAGAAACACATTGCGGTTGTATACGACGACGACGACGGCGTGTATTATATTATATTATACGCCCGATGAATCTTTATTAGTAATTTAGTAATAGCGGAACAAAATGGAAAACGCGATTGCTCGTGGCACGGCCGACCGGGGCGACATGCGTACGGGTCGCAATTGGTCGTGTGCGCGGGCAGACGGCAAGGGGACGGGGGAGGGAACGAGGGGGGGGGGAGAGGCGCGAGGGGCAAAATGCGATATTTACGACCGGCGAGCACGCGAATTCGATTCTAAACGCGGATAAAAAACCGACCGGTGCCTGACATGGAATGTATTATATAGACGCGGGGTAAAATTGTGTTTTGAAAGGAATAAAAAAAAAAAAAAAAACAACGAAAAAGAAAAATAATTACCGGGTCTGAAAAAGCTTCGCCGTTGCGATTCTGTACGGGTAGGCACGCATATCGTCGGCGCTGCACGCGTTACTTTATTTTCGCTGCACGCTCGCGTATAATATTATAATAGGTATAAAAGTACATTATTGTGTTGTCGCGAGAACGAATAGAAACTAAAATATAATATTATACCGCAAAACAAATAAAACGTAATATGTACGATAATTTGCCCGTACACAGCGCGAGCACAGAATATTGTTTGAGGCGATAACCGGAGCCGGCTGTAGAATTCAGGTACGACGGCTAAATAACTGTATACACCTACACGTAGGGTATGATGGAATTTTTTGGAAAATTGGGTACCGCGGCCGCCACTGGCGGTGATTTTGTCAGTTACGTACTATCGCCCCGTGTCACAAAACTCGATACATTATAATGAAGCACGGCCACTACTGTCCGATATTAATAAAACGAACGAATCTAAAACTGTTTTGTTTAATAATTTTTTTTTTTTTTATATATATATACATACATGCTCACGGTTACATTGTAAATCGCGTACACGACGATTACGTCACTACTATATATCAAAGCCTTGACGCATCAACACAACGTGTTTCAGTCAATAACACACGATATTGCGTCGCGATGAAAACATTGTGAACGCAATATTAGCGCGAAACATATTATTTTGATTAAAGATCTACCTCATTTCTTCAATTATTTGTAACCGCACTGTAAAACTACTAAAACTCATACCACGCACTGTTGAAAGTATAAACAACGATACCCGACAACAAAAGTAATCAACTATTATGTTACCATTTCCCGGCGTCGTTGAGGAGATAATTGCGCGTTATTACGTACGTAAATGACGGACGAGGTGGTGATTCCGAGTGACTCGGCACTGTTATCGCTCTCAGTTTTACCATCTCGTAATTCCCACGGAAATGGCGGACCAGGACGCGTTCGGGTCTTCTCGGAATTGTCGGCGAGCTAATACAGTAATCCGGTGATAAAAAAAAAAACAAAAACATTGCCCCTATTCTCTGCGCGACATTCCGACAAGGTGTAAAATGTAAACAAACACGGGCAGTTCGTTACGCCGAAATACGTCGTAACGCCATCGTACCCTATAGCGGGTAATAAGTTTTATAGTCGTTTAGCCGCGCAAACACCGCAGATCGATACATACTGTCACCGTACGTGGGACTCGGGGACCGCTAACGTACAATATATTATTTATATACGAGCATTCATAGCTGGCGATCGCGTATATATAATATTATGGTGTGCATTACAGTTCGTTTCGGCCGGAAAGGCGGGTCCCTACTTGCCGACCTTTCCGCGCAAGAGGGTCACACACGACGACCATGTTGTTGCCCAGCAGTGGCAGACTGGCAGGGGACGAGCGTAATGTTAACAGCGTACGTAAACGCTGTCCATATACGCACAGGCATTTTTCGCGCTCGAAAATGTCAGTCGCGTTTCGGTTATTCGAAATTGATTTAGGCGTTAAAACAGATGTTTAACGAAACATTTCCTACTGCGCGCCGTAATAATCGCGGGTACATAGACGCGCGTGCTTACGGCGCTTCCGAAACGCGCGCGCGGTTAGGTAAGCGGACGACAATATTTCGATTGCCACTGCTATTGTCGTTACGCGATTTCGCCGTGCGTCGCGTGCACGCCGCGCGTTGTGGAAACGGCGGGAATCCGAAGGAAAAACGCGAATGCCGTCCGACACGCGGAGGAATATTATTCGATACCGGGATAATTTGATTACGCGCTCTCGGAACGTAAAACCGCGCACTCGCATACCGCAGTGCATACACGTTACGACTAAATTACAAGTGCAAAACGTGTATAAAGGTCGAACACCCGCCCCTCTCGAGCGTGACACGGCGGCGCGAAATGGGATTTCGGCGGCTTATCGAGGGTTTTCGGTTGAACAAACCAAACCGCCGCCGCGTGTATTGCAATATAATTTATCTTCCGCGCGAGTCGCGCTGAACGATGATAAATCGCGTCTCGCGAACCGCGCGCTGCGGGGGAACAAGTAAAATACGGTGTTTTCACCGGAGCGAAAACGGCGACTTTCAAAGTGATAACAACACACGGCGGCGGCGTACTTTGTCACCACGGCGCACGCGAATACCGCGACTCGTACGCTTATCCCGTGACCAATAAAAAACGCTCCGTCTACTCGCGGGGCCGTCCGCGGGTTCGTCAACGACACCGTTCAATGTCGCGGCTCATCTGCTGCGCGCGACTTTCCGACATCCGAGCCGACAACTCGCGGGACCAAACGCGCAAATACAGAGAATCCTCCGTTCGAATATCCCCGGGACGTGGCGCGCGAGATTTGGAACGTGCGCTTCACCGAGTTCGCGGGCCAATCGCAAATTTTCAACCGATCCCATTAAAATATTCCTCGCCGTTCGCACATTGCACGGCCTCTCCGCGGACTCAGGCCGACACGTCTTTCATTTCCGCTCTTTTCGACGGCGCTGCCGGCGCGCCCGACCTTCAATTCTCCGCCATTGTCCGCGTTCCCTTCCGCCCGACGAGAACCCGTTCCCCATCAGCCGCGCCGCCCCGTACGGGTACAATCGCCCTCTTCGCCGATCGCTGATCATGCGGGCCCGGGCGTTCTGCCCTACCCGCGTTCACCGTTTAATTTTAATCCCGAGCCCGCGAAACGCGGTATGTTAATTTTATACGCATAACACTCGTACTCCATACCGTGCACATTTCGCCGGAAGGCGTGTACCGATAAAAACGAATAATTTCCGCGCGCGCTTTCCACTCGCCAACTCGCCCCCGTGCTCGACACGACTAGAAAACAATGCAACGCCACGAAAAACCGAATAACGTCGTATTGGAAAAAGTGTTCCCGGACCCGGTTTCGGGCGGGGAGATGGCAGGAGTGATAAGTGACGATTGCTGCAATATATCTCGCGTGCCCGCGTTTCAAGCTTCCGATTCAAGACGCGGTGCTCGCCCGCGCAAGTGTTCGACCGTGTATACAGAACGCGTACGTATGTGTAGGCAATTAAATGCCCTCGTCTGCAGCGGGGTCTACGGGCCGTTATTCGCGTAAAATGTCGACGGCGGATTAATTACGTACAAATCGTCGGCGACGGCTAAATCGCGCGGGTACTGTGTGTTGTATCGGGGCGAGGGTCGCCCGAGACTTAATGGAATTTGTTCGGAGGGTGAGAAAGAGAGAGAGAGAGAGAGGGAAAAAAGCGAATATATCGTACGTGGCGGCGAGGGAAAGGCCCGCCGATATATTATGTATAATACGTGCGGTGTATAGTGTGACGACGACGACTCAAAGGGTCGTGTCGTTTTAAAAGCATTTCTCGCCCCGCGGTGTGCCGAAATGTGTGGTAGTGCAAAACAAAAACAGAAAAAAAAAAGGGAACGCCAGAAACCGAGAACACATATAACCTATACACACACACACACACATATCACCAGGAACTCTACGCTTTCACCACCAGACGACTAATACGGCACACAGCGCCTCCTTCACTCTTGCGCTCCGGCCGCCCTCCCGCGGAGAAAGAGAGCTGCAGCATTTCCTATACCGCCGCCGCGCATGTGTGTATGTGTGTGTATAATACATAAAATAGCTTCGCACACTGCACGGCGCTTCTGTACGAGAGCACACACACACACATACACTATATATATATACATATACAGGGACACACAAAAGGTCGGTCGGTCCACAAATCTTCGCCGCACGTCAAAAACCGTCATGGACCTTTCTCGCGCCCGTATCCGGTCCAATACACACGCACGTTCGCGAATCGGCCGCCCATAGAGTACCGCGGTGTGACGGTGTGATGGGGTGTATGTGTGTGTGTGTGTATGTGTGCGCGCGTATGTATGCAGTGCAGCAGTGGGCAGTTGTACACACACGCGCGCAGGCCGGCGAGTACATTCCCCGCGTCTTTGGAGGCAACAAACTGCAAACACGCGCGCGGCACAACTTCTCCGCACCGCCGCCGCCGTATATATATATATATATATATATATATGGGAAAATAACGCGAATACAGGGACTATATATATATATATATACACGTATACGTATAGGAGGTTAAGTAAATTATCTGGTAATTTATATCGCGAAATACCGCGCACCCGGAAATGATACATGGCCCGAGGGCGAGCCAGAAATTGTCGAGTTTTCCCGCGGGCCGCGCGACGACGCCGGGCACGTTCGCTTTATCGTTCTCGGTTGGACCGTGATTTTTGCGCCAACACGCGATATATAATAACAATAATAATAATAATAATAATAATATTATTATTATTATGTGTGTGTGTGTGTGTGTGTGTGTACTGTGTACGCAACGCAATAAGGGTCGCGGGCTAATAATATACACGCACGTATATATATATAAGTACATATAATATCGCGTATACGGTCGGCGCGCGCGTTATGTGATGTGAAATACTGCGCGCCGTAACGGTCGAACGGCTCTCGGTGGCCGCGGGCGGAAAAACAATAACGCCGTACATAATTGAAACAATGGCAGCGCCGTACGCGCGGTTCGGCGTTATTGAAAGCCGAACGGCTTTTATTCGCGAATAAAAATAATAAAAACCGGTAGGGTGGGGGGAGGGGGGGGGGAACCGAAAAAAATACACTGCCCGCCGTATGTACTTACGGGCCGCTGGCATTTTCGGCGTAACGAGCGACGACGGGTATCGGTGGCGTACAGCGCGGGCGAGGTGAAAGTTAGGGGTTAAGTGTCCCACCCCCACCTCGTCGTTAGCTCGAAAATACGAGAAAAACCAAGAGTAATCTAATATCGAAATTCATACAGGTATATTTAACGAGCATAAGTAACGAGAGGAAATGCCCGTATTTACGTATTGATTAGGAATTGGCTTTTATTTTTTTATTTTTAAGCTTTTATAAATTTCCGATTCCCCCGTAGACGCGTTGTGTAGAGAAAACGATTTTACGATTGCGATTGAAAAACGATTCTGCGCGGAGCTCGGTGAACGCGATATGAGATTATACCCGTTATAATATATGATAGCGTATTGGTAATAGTCGTGCTTTTTCCGTCACTTTTAGCCAGGGTTGCAAACTCGATTTAATAACAATAATAAGTAAATAATACTAAACTGTAAATATAATTTGATCGTAATCATTTAAAAGCACGTGATAAAACACGTATACGACGACATAGCAAATTTGAGTTCAGCTGGGCCGATTTTGTGCTGTTAGTTTTAATATTACAGTGAATCACTAGAATACAATACAAGTATTGATAAATCGTGCAGATATTTCACATATTCGTATCACTCTTAAAAATTATAATATCGAAAAAATAACGTCAACGTTCCGCAGATAATTTCAGTATCTGTAAGTGTGATAATAGGTCAATTCACTGTAACCTAACCGTACAGCGATGCCGTCTCTGCTAGACGAAGATTTGGTACAACGTACGTTTGTAAGGCGGAGATAACACATGCGGGTATAACACACGCTTTCTTAGGAACAAAGTATATAGAAATTAAATAAAATGTTTACTTTTATACCCTAAAGTAATTCAGTTACGATTCGGAATACATTAGTTTTTTTTTTTTTTTTTAATTTAACGTTCGAACGTTTAAAACGTGTCAAACACATATAGGCATTTGTTAAAAACACTTCGTAACCTTGCCTCGCGCGCCAAAATGTGACCCCACGAGTGTTGACAAAAATAATACAGATGTTTCGAAAAACTATAAGAAATGTGTATGGAAAAAGTTTTCAAACAAAGTACCGTCGGGCGGAAATTCCGCGTCTTTCGACGTACAGCCGCGAGAAAATGTGTGTTACGAAGCGAAAAAACACGTCTCAACAAAACTATACAGTTATTCACAGAATCTAAAAACACAAAAATCGGTCCATTCGGTTTCATTCAAAAACAGTTTAAAATTAATAAATAAATATACTCTATCATGTTTACACTATGCGGTTCGTGCAGAAATATGTATTCAAATTACGCGTTTACTTTACGAACTAGGTGACGCGCGTATATAAAAAAAAAAAAAAAACGTGAAATTTCTCGATAGTATTTCTCCAAGTATTTACCAATATTTTCGTTCAAGGCTACGTTTCAACGGGTTGTGTAGAATATCGTACGAGTATGTTTACTATAATTACGCAGCGGTGAAAGACGCCGTAAAAATGGCTATATAAAGTGAATAAATGCGCGAAAACAATTTTTTTTTTTTTATTAAATTAACTATTACAGTCGTGAGTCGTACACAACGTTTGTGAGAATAGCATTGAACTACAAAATATATTATTATTATAATATTCCGTTTGTACGAGCGCGCAGTTGTAGGTAACGACTTTTATTACCATACAATATTATACAAATATATATGCTTACGCGTCGTTTCAAAAAAAAAAAAGAAACGCCTTTTTATTTATTATAATATATTTTCAGGCGTACCTACCTACCAATACACCCCTGACGGGAGATTCAAACATAATACATAATAAAACGTGTTTAACTATTTTATTGTTACGCCGCGCAAATATTATTCGTTCGCGAGATAAATCGTTCGTATTATACGACTTTTATAGAGAAAACTAGTTCGATTTTATACGCGTGTGTAAAAGAATAAAACGATAGATCAGCAACGACCTGCATTTGGGGAGGTGAAGGAGGGGGGGGGGCTATTATATACCCTCCGGCTACTCGAGGTCGCAAACACACTTGGAAGCACCTGGACCTCGTTACACCAACACACATGGCGGCGGTCCAAAAGAAATGCATTCCGATATTATAACGTACGTATATTTGTGTGCACCCGCCGCCGCCGCAGCCGTGTACACCGAGAGAAATTTTAGTGCAACCGGTTTTTATTTTTAATTTTTTTTTTTTTTTTTTTTTTTTTTTTTTTTTCCCGATGAGACGAGATACGAAAATTCGTGTGTAACTATTTTACTATATTACTATCGCATGGGTACGCGAACATTTTTACCGATATATTATTATAGTACATTAATATCCCGTATAGCCGACTGTTTTAGAGTTAAATAATAATAATCATACGCGGCGTGTTATTAAACGATGAATATTTTCGTCGGGACGTTACGCAGGAAACATAATAATGTATAATAATATATTATCAGTTTTAACGAATAATGATAAAAAAAAAAAATACACTAAAAGTAAACATTATAGACTCTCACACAGAGACGTCAGAAAAGTTCAAGCCGAGAAATTGATTTCGGGCCGAATTTTTCCGTCGGCTAAAAGACTACGGAAAAATGTCGGAAGTAGAGGGGTGACGTTTTTTTTCCCGATAAATTTTATCATCTTTCTGGGAGGAGGAGGGAAGAATATGTATTTATTTGAATTCAGCGCACATGAGTTCGATCGAATTTTAGTTCTCAGCTCTCAAAAGTTTTATTTCAAAATATATTTAAAAAAAAAACAAAATAAAATTGACTCGACCGACTTCATGATGTATACACCTTATACAAAATTGAAGACTAAATGTCTATGCGATATATTATGTGTTAGACAAAGAAAGAAAATATCGGTATCCTGCAGTACCCTAAAAAATGTATATTACAACGTTTAAAATAAATGTAAGCAATTTTGATCAACGGTGTGGGTTTCCCGACGAGTCAGACCGTCTCTGGGCTCACATTAGAAATCGAAGAAAAAAAATTCTTTTATAATTTATAATATTCAAGTAGTTTTAATAATTTGATGAAATTCTGCTATACACACCAACAAACTACACGTGTGTGCTGTGTATATACAACACAGTAATACGAAAATACGAGTACACATATACAAAGGCGATCTTAAACGAATATGTTTTTATACATAGCGACTGTAACTGCGCATCGTTTATAAAATATCCAAACTAAAACATAATACGAAAAATAAGATAACGTTGGAAGATACGACCGGCCCCTTTATAAATAGGTCGAACATTATACATGGAAATATAAGTGAAACGTCAAACAGACATTTCTGAAATATTACGTCAAACCGTGGACTATAATGATAAACCTTTGAACATTTATTTAAACGAGTATATTTAAACGAATGGCCGCGTGTAGATTTTTCGATGGAAAAAACTCGACGGACTGAGCCGCGTCGAACGTTCAATTAAAAACTAATTATTTGATGGTACAAACGAACGGGCACTGTATACGGGACATGTGCGGCGATGCGAATTGAATATGCATAAATGAGTAGAAAAAAATATACGACAATATAGGACGAGGCGTCGGGAGTCTAGACTTTAGATTATAATTTATATTACGATCTGCTAACGCAAGAGCAGCGTGGAAAATTAAGTAACAATTAGCGGTTTAATTAAACAGTGTCCCTTTTTTTATTATTACTATTACGAGTATCTATTTATTTATTCACGCCACTTAACCGTATGTAATACATAAACCGCAGTCCAACAGATACGACAAATACTCTGAATGCTGACAATAAAACAAAATGCACTTAAAAGTGTCAAAATCAACGTACTTATATTGATGTGTAGTCACAGGAAGTCGGCGAAATATCTGATATGGCGGGGACCTACGGGAGCTGACGGATCCATGTGTAATTCGATCAAAGGTCAGAGGATTCGACGGTCAGGCCAAATTACACGCACTGAGAGTGGCATTCCGAAAAAGGGTACGAAGTACGATATGTATACGGCAAAATAAAAAAAAAAACAATTCTACATCACTTTACCTGCACAATAATTTAAAAAACCATAACATATTAAACATTAAAAACTCACTCGGAAAGACGTTAACTCGCTGTAGAACACCGAAAATTACATACTCGTACTCGTATCGTCGCGCACGATCGAAATAACAAATTTTCAACAAAAAAAAAAAACACTACTTATTAGATATATTATATACAATAAAAAACGGCGCGCAGCGTACGCGAGACGACGTTACATCAATAAGCCGTGTTATTACATTATATTATGTTATATCCCGCGAGAAAGGTCGGCGGTATTTTTTTAGGGTCTCGCGATACCTGTCAGGGGCGTGCCTACTGTACGTGTATATGTATATGGTGTGTACGGTATTCCCTCTGCCGCGCCCGCCCCGGCCGAGCACCCCTTCGTCGGGGGTGCGTACAATATATAATATGACGTACCTCTATACGATATACAGGGTGCGGCAAAAGCAGAAGCAAACAACGACATTTGTACGTATTATTATACGTATAAAACACAAAACTATACCTATTATACAATATATCATTATACCTACTACACATCTCAATTTGCAACGGCTCGGCGTTGCAGCACCGCTGCAGCTACCACGGTGTGTGTATGTGTGTGTGTGTGTGTGTGTGTGTGTGTGTATGTATGTGTGTGTGTGTGTGTGTGTGTGTGTATACAGTGCGTTCGGAAAACCAATGACGAGAGCCGAGCGTATAAATCACGCGATGGGTCTCTTCTATTCGGCGCTCTTTCCGTCGTCCTCTCACAATGTGAATATCATCATATCGGTGGGAGAAGATTTTTTTTATTTTTTTTTTTCGGTCGGCCGACCGGTATACGCGCGCGCGCGCGCGCGGCATCGTATGATTTATGGAGGTTGTTTTTATCACACAGTCAGTGGTTTTGTTATTATAAAGCCGGCGGCGGCGGCGGGGCGAATAGTATTAAAAGCGGTGTCGACGTGGCGATATTACATATATATATATATATAGAGAGAGAGAGAGAGAGAGAGAGTGAGTGAGATAGTGGAAGGGGGGGGGGGGCTAGCAGCACTATAGATATTGTACGATAGGAATCAAATTGGAGTAAATCATTGCGCGTACACACACATATACACACACACACACACACACGATTTCCAGCCGTATCTATACATAATAATAAAATATGTGTGTGCGTGTGCGAGTGTGAACGCTCGGCGCATGCATTTTTGTTCGAAGCGTGTTTGCTTATGTATGAATATTATAATAACATAGAAGAGTGATAATAATAATAATAAAATCATCAGGCGTATTATAATAGAAAACCGACAATTGAATATATTTCCGTCGGGTCTTTGTCGGAACCGTATAAATATATATTGTATAATATTATTATGCGGAGTATATGACTATACAGGATCGAATCCTCTATATACGGTCGAATTACACCCCGTGTATTATTATTAATAATATAAACGTCACGTTTTTAAAAACTGTTTTTTTTTTATTACCGTTAAAAGATTATAACCTGTAGTACTACATAGTTTATACATTATATAATAATACGCGCATAGTTATTTGAAAAAAATTATTTTAATCTCGTCGTCGGGTGGCTGCAGTTATTCGGCTCATTTATTACCGATACGTGTAGTCGACAGATACAATTAATATTTTGATTGTATAATATTGGCGACAAATTAGGCTCCGCAAAAACGACGGTCAAATCGACTATTTAACTCCAGTCCGCGGTCAATGCCGAATCGACAAGTAAAACAGTTATAATTTGAAGGCGGCAGTTGAATGCGATGGACCTGCAGCCGCAGAGAATAATATAAAGGCCGTAGTCCGTCAAAGAAAGCTACGGTGGATGGACGGAACGAAACCCGGGGAAAGGGACAGTATCTATACGCGATCGCGAGGTGCGGGAGACGTAAAGTGTCAGTAATGACCGTAAACCCCTTGAAGAAAAAGAAGATGATGATAATAATGATAATAATAAGCGATCGCAGACGTACGAATCAGAGGGGATTAATTAATACGTTATCGGCAGATCTGTGATATTTTTTTTTTTAAACCCTTGGGCGGTGGCTTGTAAATTATTACGACAGCGCATGGTTTCTCGATCACACAATTATTATTATTATTATTTCGTCGTTTGAACGTTTATATTAGCGGCCCAACAATAGCCGGTAAATGATGAAGTAATGCAGTTTACCTATACGGTCGATTGACTTGAGCGTATATAAGCTCCGTATATAGCGTAAATGCACGTATTGTCGGTATTATATACTCGTAAAAAAAAAAAAAAAAAAAAAAAAAAAAAAACGTATATATATACATATACACTGCGTGTGTCTGCTTAACAGCCGTTAAATTGGCCGGTTTCCAAAATACAATTATTATAACAATATATACGACCCGTTTGGCCGTCTATCTTTTTCTATTTTTTTTTTTTTTTGTTTTTTTTTTTTTTAATACAAGTTCTCGTATCCGGCTATATGACTATAATATTATTATATACTCGGTATCGACAATTTGCATTCGTATACGCGCACCCGAGAAGGGTATAATCTACCTAAGTATATATTATTATTATTATTATTATTATTATTATTATTATTATTATCGTCATTGCGGCTGTGTTTATATATTTAGAATAATACGAGAAGAAAACGGTGTATAATTGTTATTATAATATCGCGCGGCACTCCTTCTCTCTAAAACGCTGTCTGGCCGGCTTGCTGTACGCAGTGTTTTTCACACACAACTCGTGTGAAAGAGAGAGAGAGAGAAATAGTGAGAGAGACTTCGGCATGGTATTCGCGGGCGAGCGCCGCATAGCTCTCGCGATTATTTTAAACGTTCGGTTTTATTAAATAACGACGGCGACGTCCTTGTGCCCGTTATTAAAACCGTTTAGAGGAGGTTCGTATGTATACGCACTATAATGCCGCAATGAGGTCGTTTGGGGGGGAAAAAAAAAAATATATCAATAATGCGCGGGTTATTGTTAGATAAATATAAGCACGAGGCACACAACGGTATCGCTATGAACACCATAATATAGAAGCCTCTCGAGTATGGCAACGCGTTATTTTAGAACCGGGTACACAACTACAATATAGCGTCGAAAATTCGCTAGTAATGCGCTAGACTTTGCTATGGGGTTTTTGTCCCGCATAAACTTCGCGAATCCGCAGACCAACACACCGATGTTGTCTTAGCGAGCGCACCGTCCGATTCCCCCGCAAAATGGGGATGATAACGATTCTCCTACGACAAATAAGAATATATCATATCACTATTGCCAACCATAAAAAACCGAAATTTTTAATTAAAATGGGCCACTATCACCAGATATACATATCATTTCCCGAATAGGTGCTAAAAGGAATGAGCTTGTAACGAATCATATTCTTATCACTTATGTCAATTAAATGGGCTTAATTAATTAAATTATACTGCAATTTTAAAATATTTAGAAAACAAATTAAACGAGCTCAATTAAAAAATTATCACATTGGTAATATCTTATTATTATAAAACAATGTAATAATTAGTGATAAAAACTGGTCACCACAAGTTCACTGCTCCAAGCACCCATCCGGGTAGGCAATAGTTTGTACGTAGTATTAGAAACCTGCAGGAATTCATTTCATTAAATACTAAATTTCTCGATATTAATTTTCGAAAAATTCATCGTTGGTATCATAGGAATTTTGAATTCCTACCTATACAACATTCTTATCATTATGTAGGGGATCTGGATGTCACCCCGGAAAATACATTCATACTTACTGTCCTACGATAATAATTTAAAATATGCCGGTACCGACTTGATCGTCACGAATACTGAAAATGCAGTGAATCGAAACAGTTTTACGGAATGTCCGGTATAGTTTTTCGAATGAAATTATTCGGTCGCGTGGGAAAAAAAATAATCTAATGAATTGTTCGATAATTCCGCCGAACCATCGACCGTTTAAACTGTTCGGAAGTGCCCGTCACTATACGCTATAAACACTTTCCGATACGACACGGCGTTTATAATATAGCGTAAAGCACGCATCTTTTTACTTGTTATTTTTTTTTATTCTTTTTTCCAAACATATAATCACCAATTAACAGATACTCGGTCAATCAATCGCTCGCGAGATTGTATACGATTTTATCGAGTACACGGGAAACAAACGCACTTGCGCGCGCGTCCGAAGTATACGCGACGAGGCCATGTGGTTTTTTTTTTTTTGTTGTTTTCGGGGGAAAAAATAACATTTACATTATGTAAATCGAACTATATAGTAATATATAGAGGCCGGCCGATCACCGTCATAAATCTACGCCACTTGTCGGGTTATACGATTTGTATTATTGAATAGAAACAATAAATATACAAATCTTTCCGGATGGAAATTATAATATACGAACAAAACGCTCGAGGCCAGAAAATGTTAAACGTCAAACGAACCTAAACGGAAAATAAAAGCGGATACGGTCTATCGAGCAGTCTAATCACCGAACAATAATCATTATTATTATTATTATTACCACTATTATCCGACGACTATAACGTATACAAAAAATCAAAGCTGGATAGTAACTATATAGTTAAAGAGTTACTTTTGTTTTGATCAAATTTCTAACTTGCCTGTAGGTTTAAAAAAAAAACAATGTTAGAAAATAATTTTGTTATTTTTAGCAATAAAAAATTTTAAGTTAACTCGATTATTTTATTCATTCTCGTAGAAAAAAAAATGTTTCGCCGACTTTATTTCGCGTTTACTTTTAACGAAATTTGCTTACCTATTTTTATAAGAATATCATAGAACAAGACGGGCATGTGGCTTATTCAGGGATACAACACGAGTCTTGTAAGTCTACAAAGACTATACAGGTTAAATATTATTAAAGTATAAAATAAGTTTACGAGTGTATAGTAAATTTATAGAAAAAAAAAAAATTATTTTCAGACTTAGTTATTCGAATTTAATTTATTTTACATTTTCATAATCAACTTTAATTTGGCGTGATTTTATTTTTGGGGCTGGTAAATCGACTTAAAATAATTGAAACCAATCGGTTAACTCGCCCAGAATTACAAACAATTATAAATTACATAGGATCGAAAATGTATTATATTATAGTCAGCCTCTGCACGGCGGCGTTCCGAACGGAACCACAAAACGACAACAATTAATATAATATATTATTATTATGTATAACAACAGCTGTCGTATTTACTGCTATTCGTATACAGAATGCGAAGGCCGAAGAACTCGGCGAGTGACCTAACAATACGCGAATAAAAAAAAATTATATATTTATTAAAACGACCGGTGTGTTAAATTCATTGCTACGTTAATTCGACACCATTTTGCTGCTGCTGTTACTGTTGTAATAATTCATCATCAATTTATACCGTCAAAATACGGCTCCGTAATCTGTAGTCCGTTTACTAGCCATAAATATCGGCTAATTTAATTATTGACAGTGTTTAGCGCGATTTACACTGTGCCTCTTGCACTCATCAAATCGACTGTCCTCCTCGCAATAATTGATACTTCTGTCCAACAAACACTAAATTTGCCCTCAGACCGTTGAGACAAGCTGTCGGTTTGATATTATTTCGATTGAAGCTTCGTTACTCACGATATCGCTTCTCTGACGTTACATTCCTTAATTAGTTTTAGATTTCCCCTCGCCCGACGAGATAGCATTTTCCTTTCCCGTACAGTTTCCTCGTCAAATTATCCCCAAAACTCTACTTAAACGAGGAGCTTTTCATATAAATACCGTCGCAGTACGCACTATACAGGCATCGGCCTTACATGCACAAACGAAATACAAAGGATAAAAAGTTTGAAATTAAAACTCCTGCGCCGAGACTATAATATGTACTTGCAGGCTAGTGCAATAACAAGACATCACGAACGACGACGACGATGCGGATATAATAGCTTTATCAAATCTCGTATAATATTATTTATTTATTCTGTGAATTGTGTCGCGTTTTATTTTTTTTTTTTTACCATCACACCGCGACGACGACGACGTTGATAGGTGTGAAAAACGAGAACTCATTGTTCGCGCGGCTATAAGATACGTCGCACACTTTGGCGGCTATCAACGCGGTCGATTCCGTCAAGTTGTCGGACTGCCCATAGCAGACATCTCGGACACTTATTATTATTTTCCCTTATACGCCCGTCGAGTGCAGGACTTTACTATATTATACCTGTATACATTATATTTGTCGTCTCTTTATCTCTAATCGCGCGCCAATCGCGGGACACGCGGACGACAGGAATAGTTGATTCTGTCCGCGTGATGTGTCACTGCGACTCGCGGAATGGAAATCCGTCAAAACGTTTTTCGATCTACGATTATAATCGCAATACCTATAATTCTACTATAATACAGTATACAGACACGCGAAACTGTGCAAGTATAATGTCCGTCAAGTTGGCACCGGTACCAAGTTGTATCAATATTTTACTAGAAATTTGCAAGATTTCGCTAGGGAGTTTTTAAATTTTTAATAAATTTGCATACTATTATTTTTTTTTTTTTGAAATCGGACAATTTGCCGGTGCAGCTACAAAAACAATACCGGCACGTTTGTTTATGGATTTTCGAAGTTTATGGGCCCTAGCAAAATCCAAAAACGCCCTAGCAAAATCTAGCAAGTTCCAAACAAAATATTGATACTATAGTTGTATAGTCCATTTTTACAAACAGGGTGTAAACATTTAAAATTATTCTGATTACAATGTAGTAAACTTTATTTTGCTTTTTCCCGCTAAACGTGTGCTTTTTTTTCTTAACTTTACATTATGTCCATGAAGATTCAACAAAATATTTATGTAATTCTTTTTTAAAATATTATATTATTGCCAGAAACGAGTGAAATCGTCGTAATGCAATTTAAGTAAACAAAAATATAACTGTTGTGTTGGAAGCAAAACACAAGTTGGAAAAGCTAATAGCGATTTATGGTGTACCGAAATTGATTTTAGAAAAGTGAAATCGTGTTTTTTCAAAGAACAGAGATCAGAAAAATGTTCAAAAAGTCAATAACATTCATACCACCGAACATTAATGTATAGTATAATAAATTTAAATGATTTATACGAAATATTTAGTCGGATAACCCCAGTTGGCGTGTCCAACGCACAAAAATATAGCACCCAACAGGCTAAGTAATTGTAAAGGATAAAGGATAAATGATTGTAAATTCGGGTTTTAATCTTAATATATAATTTCATTTATATATTTTTTTTTTGTAAGTATATTTTTTTATATTTTAAAGTTGAATGAAATTAATGGTTTTTTCTTTTCTGTTGTTGTTATTTTAACGATTTATTTTGCTATAAAATCCCAACCCTTATATTAATGGCAAATAGAAAGAAAAAATATATTTTTGTATTTATGTACTCACCACATGTTCGACCTTTATTTTATTTTTATTTTTTTCGTTAAATATCACATAGTAATAATATTATAAAGTTTACGTAACCGCAATATCAATAATATTATTATTATTATTATTATACGACGTGCAATCATTATACGCGAAGATTTATGACGTTATATACTCTAGTAACATATTATTAAATTGTCCAATAGATGTATAATATATAGTATCCGACAGAAAAAAAAAATATCGACTCATCCGTCCCACGTTATACATTATATTCTACGGGTTATACGCGGACCTTGAAGAAGTGTATTATTTTTCTAATCGAAATAGGTAACAATAACGAGCACCCAGGGTATTCTATATATTGTACATTTTCTGTGAAAAAACCGCCGATTTCACCCGTTTACGGCCACTTTAAAAATACGTTTTACGTCGCCGCCGTAACAAGTCACGTTCGATCTGCACGTGTAGTTTAATCGTTTCGATGATCAATTGGATTATAAGGTATGTGAAGGGGGGAGGGGGCGGAGGACAAGACTTTTCAAAATTCAATAAACGGCCCGACTAGAAACGCTTAGAAGACGCGAAAATTCGTGTTTCTATTTTACTGTCCGCGAAATGTATTTGACGGGCAGGCGAAAATGCGGTAGTTTTTTTTTCTGTTTTTCAATACATTGTCGAATTGCAAAAAAAAAAAAACGCGACGGTACGTGTACGGAAGGACAAAAAACTGCAGACGTCGTCGTCGTATAACGAAAAATGAAAAAAAAAAAAAACGGAAAATATATAATATTAATAATAAAAAGATGTATCCCTCCGCTATAATAATACTGTATTATATCGCGGCGCGGTGGGAGGACACTGAGGCCGCGACCGGGGGATTCGTTTTTGTTTCGGTCGGCGTTGCAGAGGCGGAGGCGCGGCGGCGGCGGCGGCGTTGCAATTTCGCTGATTCGACGGAACATTCGTCATCGGCACAAAGCGAACGCGCTGACTTGTCAGCACCATGTTCCTTTTGTCCTCGCTCCCTCTCTCGCCCTCTCCGTCTCGCCCCGTCTCTCATTCCCGGGCAATAAATACGTATACGCGTACACGACGATACACGCAGACGGCAGATGTTTGTTGCCGCCGCCGGTCGCACAGGGGCGATCGCGAGACCGACGGACCAATGGCATCGTCGCCGTGACTATTATAATACACGAGCGGCACCCTCGGCGGCCGAAAACCGCGACCGCCGTCGTCGACACGGCACGTCACACGCCGCGCCGCGACGACGGCGGTAAAAGCGCGCGCGGCCCCGAAAGCCCCGGTCGCGGGGACTTTTTTCCTCGTTTGCCGACGACGACGCGCGCGTACATTACATTAAACGCACCGCCCGTATACCGACCGCGGCGGAGACGATATCTGCGCGCGCGCGTATAGCCGCCCGTTAAACGGTCAATAATAGACCATATAATAGCGACGATAATAATAATAACGCGAATACGTGTAAAAACGTATACGCGGCCATTATTATTACCGCGGTGACCGCGATGGTTATCGCGGGCGGCGAACGACGACGCGCGAGAGTGTATATGCCGCCGCGCCCGTGTAATATAATATTACACAAGAGTCGCAGCGACACACACCGCGGCGGCGGCGGCGCACAATCGCCCGGCGGTGTCCATTGAAAACGCTCGCGGACGACGCGGCGTCGTATCGTCTGCCGATCTCGAAATCGCGCGACAAAATTTAATATAACATTGTCGTACGACCGTGCAACGTACCCGGTGCCGGTAACATGCGCCCGAGTACGCGTACCCATACGCCATAGGCGTACCGGTCCCGTATATAAACAACAATAATATTATTGTACGACTACAGTACGCGTTAAACGACCGGGAGCGCGTAACATTCCTGCGGGCGTCCGGCGCAATCAATTGGCACCTTGTCGCGACCGCGGCCCAACGTCGACAATAATACGGCCGCAGAGCGGAGGGAAAAAACAAAACAACGGGAGGAAAAAAAAAACGTTATACCGCCGCGCATTACGCGTCGCGGATATCGCCGCACGGTCGCCGCTGCCGGTACGTGCACGCCGGTTTCCCCGGCCGCCGTCCGATGTTATCCGCCGCGGGGTAGTGAACGGCCGGCAGTACACCCCGGGCACGTCAATTATTACCGACGCGTATTATATTGTCGCGTGTGCGCCCGGAACGCCACGTCCGCGGACGTTTCACGCGCGTAAATTTCGTACAGTAATAATAATAATACGGGAGTATACAGAAAAAAAGAAAAAAAAAAACGGACGGACATGGATTCCGCACGATGCACGGGCCGCCGTTGTAGTGGCGAGAAGTCGGGAAAGGTACCCATAACAGGACGTGGAGGGGAATTTAGTTTATATTTGTTTTTTGTTCGCGCGCGGTGCATCGAGGATGTGCCGTTTTGGGAGTTTCGCCTCTTGAACCCCGAACGTATTCACGCGGCACGACTCTGGAAACCCCGAGTGTTTCAGACGAAATACAATGTCGCGACGGGTCCGCTCCGGAGAAAAATTCGACACTATGCACAGCGACGGGAGTTCGGCTGCTACTCACGAGTGATTTTTTTTCCGTTTCACTCTTCGGCCAATGGGCTAGATCAAAAGACCCGTCAAATTCCGTTTCGCACCTCTCGGATTGGCGCACTGTATCGGGTCAGTCCGACAACGGGCACGTCGGGTTCCGGTTCCTCCCCCACCCCCACCATCCTCCCAGCCATCCGTTTCGTCTAAACCCGTAGCGGTTGTCCGCAGACTACCGCGGATCTATGTAGGTATATTTTTATTTTTTTTTTTTCGATAGTATCGGAGATTTTTTTTTTTCCCCCGGGATTCCGTATGATATTATTATTATACGCATTAAATACTGACGAATCGTGACGACGACGGAAAGAAAACGTGTCGTAACGGCGCGTATCACGAACGACGACGACGGGACGTTTCGTTTTCAAGGTATACGCGATAACATGATCACGACGAATAAGAGAACGCGCGTGCGATAATGTAATTATTATTATTATTATTATTATTATTTTTATCGGCCCGCGGAAAAGAGAAGACATTGGAAATTATTGTTTTATTATCATTTTTTTTCCCGTCCTCGCGATAAATCAAAAGGGATGTGTGCGTTGCCGAATGTCGCGCGTGTGTAATTAACGATCCATAAATTTATTAACGCGACGCGTTATATTATATACGCGTGGCCGTGTATTGTTCTCTCGCTATTGCGCGCTCTCTCTCGCTCTCTCCGCCGTCTCCCCGCACGCGCGACTATCTCTTTCCCCGTCGATAAAATACGCGACGAGAGTAATATATATTATTACGATATTTTATCGATAAATTATAACGCATATCGAACGTCATAAACAATAAACAAAGCGATTGCTGCGATTTTTTTTTTATTTTTTTTTTTTTTGTATCATCGTTTTCGCGTTAATATCGCGGACACGACCGACCTGCAGTTATACCGTCGCACAATTCGACAGTGGACCCGGCATCCGGACTGTCTGGATGGGTCGAAAACAATTCGGTTATACGGAAAGCGGAAAAAAAAAATCTATGGCAGTTTTAGTATAGCTAAAGTACCTCGCCAATCATGCCCAATCAGATTTCTATTAAGAAACAAAGTGCTATCATTTGTGAATCGGAGCAAAATCGATGGTAGAGAACGAGGTAGAAAAGTTGTCTACAGAAACAATAAACATCATTGTAAAACCATAAGCTTCTTCGTTCCACTCAGAATCTAAAACTATTCGAACAGTTTTCCCGTTAGCCCCGAATAACTATTCGATAGAGGGGAAAAAATATTCGGATGCGAAACTTTCGACAGTTGTTCCGAACTATCGAAAACTATCGATGGTATAAATACTATTCGGAAACGCCCGTCATCGCTGATTTAATATACTGGTCAATTCTATTTGACCGGGTCACGTAATTCGATACGTCGAAAAATATACAATATGTTTTTTTCACAATTTAAAAAACAAGCGGCCCAAAAATTTTGCCTTTTTTGTCACCCTTATTTTTGAAAGTTACTCGTGCAAAATTTTCGCGAATTCTAAGCAAGCCGAAAAAGTTACGAAATCGGTCACCAAAATGGTCAATCCGCTTTTTTTAACTTAATAAATCTTAAACAAACAATTCTATTGTATAATATGATACGTATATTACAGTGTACATAAATAACGTAAGAACGTAATACACAATGTCGTCGTCAGCACTTTGGCGGCTGGCAATCTTTGCAGATTTCCATTTGCGGATCGTATTCTTCGATCTGCAGCGTACAGTCGAAAAAATTGTATTTTTTGTACATTCTCCGCGACGCCTCTTTGAGCACCGCGGTCGTATTGACGCCGGGCTCGACTGCCAGATGAGCGGCCAAGGCAATTTTGTCGGGGCTCAGAGCCCACACCCTGAGGTTGTGCACCCTGACCACACCGGCGATGCCCATGATCGTCTCCAGTACGTCCACGAAATCCACGCCTTTCGGCATGCCCTCCATCAGCACGATCATCGTGTCCCGGAGTATATTTAACGTGGTGACCAACACCAGCGCGGAAAACAAGAACGTACACAACGGATCCACGATTTTCCATTCGGGTTTCACGTACACGACTACGGCGGCCACCAAGACCCCGACACTCTGAATAATATCTCCGAGGACGTGGATGTAAGCCACCCTGACGTTGATGCAGTTTGCGCTATTCGAACCCGGAGTCTCTTGACGGCCGTGCGCCTCGAGACCGCCGCCGTGCGAATGCGAGTGCTGGTGCAGCGTCAGGCCCATAACCACGTTGACGCACAGACCGACGACGGACGTGACGACCATGACGTCGGCGTCGATGGTGTACGACGTGTCATTGATGCGTTCCACGGCCAAGTACAACAGCACGCCGGTGACCACCCAGATCAGGAGGACGGACGTCAGCGCCCCCAGCACTTCAGCCCTGTACCATCCGAACGGCATGGCCCGCGTGGCCGGTCTCGAGGACACCCACAGGGCGCACAGCGATATCATGAGGCTGGCGAAATCCGTGAGCATATGAGACGCGTCCGTGGCTACGGCCAGACTGCTCGACAGGTATCCGCCGACCGCCTCTCCGATCATGAAAATCAGACACAGCGCGCCGGCGAACACGAGTTTCCGCCTGGCCTTTTTGCGGTCCGCGGACGTCGTCTCCCGGTCCGGGTGACAGTGCTCGTTTAATATCGTGACGGACGGTTTCCTGACGGGCTGATCGGGTATCCCGTGTTCGGGATTCTTGGCTTCAGTCGACACCAACGTGGTGCAACAACCGGACGGTTTTCCGTGTATGCAGTACAGTAAACGGTTGCCGGTCGAACGCCCAAAATCGTCGGTCGTCATCGGCGGCGCGTTCACGTCGTCGTCAACGGATCCGTACGTGGGGGGGTTGTTGGCTAACTGAAATGCGGACGCATCTCCGCTTGCCATTTTTTGTCCGCGGGTTTTCCAGACACTACACTTCGGTATTACTGCGCGTGGTGCGTTTAATTGCCGAGTATATTTTTCTCTTACAATATGTTGTAATATTCAAATAAAACGATACGTGTTGACAAATAAACAAAAGTTTTAGAGAATTTCATTTAGCAACGTCCTCGTCTCGTGTACAATAAAAAAAACAAACAGTTTCTTTTATTTTTTCATAAATAAAAGTCACTAAAAACTGACGATGAGATGCCGACCTCATCGACTTTTAATAACACTTCGTTTGAAGTTGGAGAAATACGAAAAGTGTAATGATTGTAATTTAAAGAAAAAACGTTGAGAAACGGAGGGCCCGGTTTGGTAGAAAAAAAACGGTTTCGGTCTATGCGGGCGGAGGAGTCAAACAACTGTCGAAACCGTAGGTAATAAACTGCAGTAGAAAATGTTTAACGGGGATATTAACACTACGCACGTGTCAATAATATTTCTATTCTCACTCCCCCCTCCCCCCGATTAACCTTTTTATTTCTGCCCTGAACTTTTTTTTTTTTTTTATGATAAAAATAAAACACACTATAATGTTTATGGAATTTAAATAACAATTTACGTACGGTATATTATTTTCAATTTTCAATTGTACTTTCCGTACCGTTAAACCGAAAACAATTCGCCGTACGCATCAAGTAAATAGAAATGATTTGGATTCGGCAATTATTAGGCTGGACTAGGAAAAACTATAAACAAATTGTATAACACTGGATGTGCACCGTGTTTGCCGTTAATGCCGTTCAAGACGTTAAAGACAAGCGATAGAAAACAGAAAACGTGTAGAGCATTAATCTTTATGGGTGGAAGTTATTGCGGAAGCTATATTAGCGCGTCACACGTATAAAATTAAGGGTTTTATACGTACTTACTGTGTACTATACCGGGGTATACGTTACGACCCCGATCGAAACAATAAACAACTTTACAAGAGACGACTGTGCGGCACGTCCCTGCGGTAGGCAAGTCGCGGAAATCTGAACTGTACGCGTTAAATCCCTGAGGACTGAACCCCTCTTTAGCAGAACGTTTCGCCGCGGACCGAAAGTAGCCGATCCGCGCGAGTATATTCTATTAACAACATTACGATTTATAATATAATTCGGTCGTTAAAAATTCGGATATCATTTTATACTTGTATAGCGCTGTATATGACGGGCAAGCCGCCGTTACAGACGCGAAGACGGTTGGAATTCACGAGATACACTACGAGTACCTAAACGAAAGCGGCGATAAACCATCGCGATCATCAAACGGCTCTGAGCGTAACTCGATTGTATACCTCTATTATAATATAGTCGTGTTTCCACTCCGCCAGCCGGAGATTGGGAGATCGACCCAGAAATCGACAAAAACGAAACTTATCGTCGGGTTTTTTTTTTTTTCCATTATTTAGCGCGACTTTTGGAAATCCAAAAACATTTTTCAAATTAAGTACCGCGGCCGAACGGAAATCGGCCGTCTTTTAACGTGCCGCGTGACGAATTCGGAACGTTTATATTAAGCGCCAAAATTCCGGGCGGCGGGGGGCAAAGCGAAATCCCGCGCACAATAAAAAATAATTGCCAATATCGTCGTAGTGTTAATTACACATAATTAATGCGCGAAACGAAAAAAAAAACAAAAAAAAAAAAATTAGCATATGACAAACCGGGTAATACACCACCACATTATGTCGTTTTAAACAAATTATCAGCGATAATTTTTTTTTTTTTTTTTATTACCCGCCACATTAGTATATAGCTATAGGTATGTACAGTGCAATACTATTATTATCGTTATTACCCTACATATTGTTTATGTACACATACGTGTGTATAGTAATGTATACGACGACTAACTCACGCTGACGTTCGATTCAAGATAAGATTTAAAGGATTCGGTCGATAATTTATGTGCATACGGTCGCCGCTTCTGCTGTTGCGGCAGTGTTCAATATATGGTAGCACGCGTATATATTATTCTCTTTTACATAACATTGTAGGCAGTATCTGATGTAACAGCAATAATGAATTTTTTTTTTTTGTTTTCGAACGATGATATATGGGCAATTAAACGAGCGCGTGTAAACGAACGAAAAAAAAATGTTTTATTATTTATTTTACAGGTTAACAACACCGACTGCATCGCGTATACAGTGTGCGTATACGAGTATAATATATGCCAGTAATAATAATAATGCACGTCAAAATATTACGTAATTTCGCATCGTTGCCGCGCGGACAAAACAACGATTACATTCGGTAAAAATTTTTACGAGCGAAAAAAATAAACACGATTCCCATTATACTTTCATTGATCGTTTTTTAAGCGCTATAATAATTGCATTATAACTGTACGCGGTTCTTTCCTGGCGGTGGAACTGTTCGGTGGCGTACGTATAACGTGCACAATATAACGTACTGGGCACTGTATAAATCTGTATGTAAACACATTCTCTAGTTTTTTTTTTTTTTATGTTATTCAATACGGTATAGTTTTTGATCGATGATCATTACGCGTAAACATTTACTTAAGTATAATTATATGTAAGTATATATATATATACAGCAGAAAACTCGGGCCTTAAAAATACAAACTGTTAATCAATCGGCCGATGCGGTTATAGGTTCTTACACCGCGTTTACGATTTGTACAAAGAGGACGAGATGTTTCTTTATTCGTTTCTAACGGGGAGGGGGACTCCGACAAAAATCTATACGCGTTCTATACTTTTACACATTCAACGTCACGGCGCCACACGAGTACCTAATATCTATAATACCTATATATTTTTATATGTGTTTGGAAAATGTCTCTGCGTACAATAAGAACGCGTTCGTCATTTCTTATTTTCACCGAAAAATGACGCGTTCGTCAACATTCTGGAATGCATTCCGAGCTCGTTCCGAAAACTACAGTAGATAATAAAAAAAATAATAATAATAAAAACCTACGCATTTTACGGCGGTATTTTTCCGAAAGTATCGCGCGTATTTTATTAAATGGCTTTTTTTTCCCTTTTTGTTTTTCTGAAACCTACATAAATCGCACAGTGAACTCGCATTAAGCGGTTCCTTGAAAATAAAAGTGACTGCAGCAGAGTTCGCGAACGCGTTCCTTGTAGAAAAAAAAAAACGAATCGAATTCAATTATAAGCGGCAGTGATTGTATACCCACCAAATGTTTTCGAATACGATAATTTACGACCGTATACATGAATACTATAATTTACTAATATCATATAATGACCGTATAGATTTTATCTACTATACATTATATGATTATGTATACCTTTCATATTATTATGGACGATGTTAATAACGGTAAAAATTAAAAGTGCGACTCACTCACGACACTGCGGTATTACGCCTTGCAGTACGACTACGTGTTGAAAGTACACCGCAGCAGTTTCGCGTTCGATAGTTATTATTATTATTATTATTGTAAAATAATTTTCACTTACCGCGATGCTACTACCGTTTAATCACAATCGCGATACCACACATCGCGTTCGATAATCATTTTTGTGTTCCTTGTTCCGGGTGAACGGGAATGCGATGTCGGAACAATATAGTATATGCATTTCATTTACGCGTATTCGGACGGTTCAGTATATCTCTGCAGTGGCGTGTACCCTAGGGTTCAAGTGTTGCTCGAGCAACACCTTAAATATGGGTGGGCGGGTATTGCTAGAAGCGCGATAATGAATGAACAGTTATATTTTAACGACATTCTATCCGGTAGGTATAAACAATAATTATAGTTCATCAAAAAATTATTTGAGCAACGACATTTTGTTTTGTTTTTTTTTTTTTTTTATTTTTTTTTTTTTGGATACACGCCACCGGTGTATCTATAAAAGCGAAAATCGTGTACACCATCTGATATAGGTGCAACGATATGTACAGTATAGTAATATCGTATAGTAATATTATAGAAATTTGTCCACAAATCATGCGAAATCAAAAATCTGCAGATAGCACGCGTCATATCGCATATAATATATATTATTACCTATAAATAGATATACATATTTATATACGTGTTTTTCGAATAAAACAAACGGATTACAACACTATACGCATTATTTACAATCGAAAATCCGAAATAATAGAATTCAGCTTTGGAAACGTTTTATATGATCCGGCGGAACAGGAAGTATACATAAAAAAAAAATGCTAGTACATTGCGGGCGTTTTGTATATCGTGCAGGATATATCGTGCTCATGGGTAGAATAATCGTATTATTGTAGGGGAGGAGGTAATCGAAAATGTAGGATAAATATGGGGTAGTTTAATGCATATATATATCCGTACGCAACGGTATAAAAGTAATTTTCGATGAAAAACAATTCTGAACGATATTCGATTAATCATATTTTTTGATAAACTCCGAAAATTGAAAATAGTTTATTGAAAATACAAAAACTATCACAATTTATTGTTCGTGTTTTTTCAGTCTCCAATATCCGATATTATATTTGTAGGTACATATAAAGCCGAAAGAGTTTTTCCCAATAATTAAGAAAACCACAAAGAGAACTAAAAAATGACCTCCCTTAATCCGCATTAGTATTGAACAAAATGTTAAACAAAATAGCTTTCGTCTTTCGACCGGAACAAAATTTATGTTAAAAACTCAGTTTATAGACGCAAAGAATCAGAAAGTACGCAAATATCATGGTTAAAACCAATACGTATTCCTCGCTATGCTCAGAATCTAAAAACACACGATTGTTGATTTTAATAGAACGCGGATATCATAATAATAATCGTAACAATCGATACACACGGTTTTGAACGAAAAAAAACAACCGTATGACGGCATGGCTGTTATGCTTAAAACACGTTTAAAATATCAAAAAAAAAATAAAAATATATATCGATTTTGATAAAAAAAAAAAAAAAAACGTGCATTTACAACGATATAATTTTAGTAAATTTGACATTGAAATAATCCATGGGACAGCCTTTTCTTAACGATTTTTTTTGTTATCTTTTTTTTTTTTTTGTTTTGAAAAGCAGCAATTTCAATGATTTAAAAGCGATGGCATCGAAAAAAAAAACCGACGGGATAACGGGATATGAGATAATGTAACAATGATTGCGGGACACGTCGATGAATACATAACATTACCATTATTTGTATTAATAGGAGATTGCACGAGAAATATAAATAAAAAGTTGTCCAATCACTTAAAATCTGCAGCAATCGTAAAATGGATTGGAATGGCGCACGCGGACGAGGGTTACCATTATCGAATATTACGGGGAGGGGCGACAGTGGTGGATGACGAATGCGCGCATAAAGCAGGGAGAGACTGCGCCTTTTATATTTTTCATTACAATAAAATGTCGGCGAAAATGCACGTAACATATAATAAACATAGACAGCTAGAGTGTAGGCGATTTTCAACACCCCCCCCCCAAGTTTAAAATTAGTTGAAAATACTCTATAAGCATTTTTTTTTATAGTATCGACTGCATTTATTTTATTTAGTTTTATTAATTATGAAATAATTGATAAAAAAAGCGTAAAAAAAATTATAAACGAAAATTGTAGTTTCTTTTTATATGTGTCGTGTAAAGAGGATTGTTGAGGTATGGTACCAGTGGGATCTGTGATCTGTCTATAATTTTAGCACCCCCCAAAAGTCGTTGGCAATTTGTCTCATCCCCGGCTAATGAGGAAAAAAAACCGAAATCCAGGTATGTCGACTTCGAAACATAAAAATCTCGTCTCGGCTCCGAACCCGAACACGACGAGGAAATTGACGCCCGTCAAAGGGGTAAAAGGTAAAAGCCACATTTTGGGTACACCGCACATTTCTTGAAAAGTCGATAATCATGATGTCTACCGCGGGTAGTCGGCACAGTACATCCGTACCGACTTACCCAGTGCAATACAGTTCGATATTTTTTTTAAATTTTTCTTGAGGTCGCGTTTTTTTTAATATGTTTACCGTATGCGTGTGAAACCGCGCGGGCATCACCACGACTCGTCGATTTTCGCCGTTCGTTCCAGCGGATCTATATTTATCTGGTGCGACCCGATAATATTAAAAAAAAAAAAAAATTAAAAAAATAAAAACGTTATATTACAGCGGCGTACTCGTAATAATGTACGAGCAGTATAATACATAGGCACTATAGGTATTAAAAAAAAAAAACGATCGAATCGTTTTCCGTCGTTTCCGCCGCACGTCGCATTCATCGAGTTAAAAGTACGCAACCGCCGGGGTTTTATCATTATTATTTATTTGTTTTAATTTTCAGAGTTTTTCGTAATCGAAGTCCGCGCCGGCGATGGCACGCGGCGAATAAATCATCCGGACGTCAATTAAATACGCGGCCGCAGCAGACCGCCGCCGCCGTCGCCGTCCGTCGATATATTAATTTCGAATCGGCGATGTTGATTTTGTTGGGCCGCGATCGGCGCGACATGCGCGCGCGTGTGATTTCAATCCCCGGGACGAAAAACGCGAGAAAAATGTTCACGGAGAAAAATGTTGTATTTTATTTGCGCGGGCCGATTGCGAGATTACCGCGGATTATTATTGTTATCGTTGTTTGCGGAGAGCGAAAACGGGGACGGGGCGATTCGTACGCATTAATAGTTCGTACACAACAATATAAAATACGTTTAATATTTTTATTACGACGGGCGGGATGACGTGACGAGCGTACATAAAACGCGGCGGTTTTTTTTAACTCGGTTTTATAACTCATCGCGGTAACACGACGGCCGGGTTTTTAAAACCGCCGCTGTTTATATTATTATTATAATATTCTCGTCGCTTCTATTACACTACGCGGGTTTTTTTTTTCTCCTTTTCGTGTATAATTTATATGTATATAAATATATGTAAAAAAGAAACTCTCGACGCTAACGTATCTCTTCTTTTAATCCGACGACTCAGACGAGACGACTCGCGCGCGTGCGACGAATTTCGTAACTCCGTCCTCCTCATCGCCGCATCCTTGGTACGCATATTATAATATAACCACGTCATCGCGCGAGTGGTTTCCTGTACAACAATCTGCGACGCGACCGCAGAAAAAACTTTTCGCGTCTTTAGGATATCGCGGGATATTTTTATCGTCGTCGTTTCGTTGGGAAAAAAAACAACCCCCCCCCCCCCCCGATCACAGCCACGGGAAATTCGTATACCTATTTATAACGCCGTCACTTCGCTGCGAACGGGGTCGGTGAAAAATCGAACGCCGAGTAAGTATTCGAGACAAACATTACCGCGCGCATACAAATGCGATCGCAACATCCTATACAGAAGTAATAATATTAATCGGTCGGTCAAGACGAAAACAGCAGAATAATATTGAAAAAACTAACGCGAGATACGCGGTAATTCGGACGAACAATACGAAAACCGTCGGTGTAGCAATCCACGCAATGGGTAAAACAACTCTACGGCGGGTTTCGCAGATTGGCCCGAAAACCGACGGTGACTTTAGATGGTCAAACTTTTGCGGTCGGTTTCAATATCGCTGCGAATCGAATTTAGATTTTTGCCCGGGGGAGTGAATAAAAAAAAAAAAACATAAACTACCGCATACGCGTGGTATTTTTTTATTTTTTTTTTTTTTATATATATAAACAAAAGCAAAATAATATTTTTACGTTTTACATCCGATGTAATCGGCGTACGGGGACCACGCCCGTCTTAAAACCAAAGTACGGGTGGGAGGGGGGGGGGCGGCGATCGTCCCCGTAGCCCCCGTGAGGTCGGCGCCTATGCACGCGGGTGTATGGGTACGCGATGAAATATCGCAATTTCATAGCGCTCTTTTATCTCGCGTGAAAATGAAAATATCGGAAAGGAATCGCGCCGGCGTTGCGGTACGCGTTGTAATATGTTCGCAGTGTCCAGGTCCGACAATCGAACTGGCCGATTCGCCGGCCGTAATAAATATTGAAACTATAAACGCGCGGCGTTGTCCCCGCCGAACGCGAACTCGCCGCACGGCCACACCGCGTAGTCCCTTTTAATAATAACAGCGCAAGTATATTATTATTATTATTATACGGATACGGTTCGGGCAGAGTTTCGGTAAAACAATGCGGCGCGGGTACGATACACGAAAACGTAGTTGTATGTTTTATTTATTTATTTTTTTTTTATCGTAAAATTCGACATGACGTCAACGCGTATTACGGGTAGGTACCGCGCGTGCTTTCGCGTGCAAGACCTATTCGAAACGCGAGAAAATCCGGTTTTTCATCATGTATAACACGCACACCGTATGGGATCGATACGTGAACGGTGTGTACGAAACGCATACACACACATGCCGTAGGTTCGTACGCGCGAGCGTGTAAAATATGAGATTTCGAAAAATACAATATTCAACGTTATTATAATAACAGTACGAGGCACGCGGCCTCGTTGCAGAAATTCGCCACCGGGCAAAGTTTATCAATCAGCGAATCGAAATGACGTAACCGCGTTCCTCTCCTCCCCTCCATCCTTATGCCGCCCCCCCCCCGCCCCACTCGTTCCTCTCTAATAACGCAATAACATGTAGGTATAGGTTTTAAACGTGCGGCGCGGACGAGGGAAACGACTTTTAATTATAATATAATACACGTATAACACCACCGTGCGTTACACGTATACCGTGTAAATATAATACATATTGACCGGTGCAAAAGAATGGAAAAAAAAGCCAAATATCGTTTGTGGTTTTTTTTTTTTTTTTTTTTTTTACATATAATTAGGTACCGAAGAAAAATATGTAAAATTCGTACGAAAAAAAAAAATCACCAACGCACGAGCGGATCGCGTTCCCGCTTCCGGGTATAATTACCGAGTACGTGCGCATATATTATACTATTATAACGAAACGGCGGCTATATAAACGAGCTTTTTATTATTATTTTTTTTTTTTTTTTTTTTTTTTTTTTTTTGTTTTTTTTTTAATTAATAACCAGTATACGCGATTTTCGTAACAAAAGCGTAACGTTTAGTGCCGTCAACTCACCGCCGCGGCGGTCTATGATCCGCATTCGACCGTATAAAACACGCGTAATAATACGCGTTTATAGATTTTTGTAAATTCAACGAAAACATTAACATTATATTTTGGATTCGGGGCGGATGTATTGCAAGTTTTACTACGATTTGTTTTCGTCTTTAAACGACTTTTTTTTCTTTTCTTTTTTTTTTTTGCCAGAAACCTTGCTCCAACCAAATGCGTTACAAGAACTTTCTAGTAGCATTTTTGGTCTGCAGCTTAGCGCGTCGTGGAAGTCAGTTTTTTAGATTTCTCGATAAAAATGGTTAATACCGGCAAATTTGTTTGTAAAATTTTTGACGATATCCGGGTCACCTCGCGAGAACAAGCGCGAAATATTCTGTTTAGAATCGTTTTCCGTTCGCAAAGGTATATCACTATATTATATGCATTAAATTCACTCGCTATATATATCCTATCCTCTTAAAACAGTGGCACACTCACGAGCAGCTTTTCCCAATGAGTTATACCGTTTGCTCGATTATTCTATCGAGAAAAACAAAAAGTATTATTATATTGTTTCGAAGAAAATCGAAAAAACATTAAAAAAAAAAAAAAAAAAAACAGACACGAGTCATTTTTTCGACGGATACACGAAATAAATTCCCAGTCGTCACGTGATCGCATTTATTGGCATTTATTATATTATATTATGTAGGTATATTATAGAGAGAGAGACGATCGTTTACATAATAATATATATTATGGAAGTTTCGTTCGAAAACGAAAGTCGAATAATAAAAACAATAACACGCGTATCTATCATGCCATCGTCGTGGAAAGCGTGCACATTCGTACTCGGAAAATTATAAACGAAAACCGAAAACTTCAATATCGCAGGTAACGGAAAATCGCATGATTGTGAAATCGTACCGACTCGTATTTCGTTATTGTAGGTACCTATATTACGTGCGGTACTGCCGAAATCGGTCGTGATTATATTATTTAGATAGAAGAAACGCGCGATAATAACGTAAAAATTAACGGTTTTCAAAACAATAATATTATACCGTCGAACCCGTCGTAATAGCGTTTCTTCGAGTTTTTGTCAGATTCCAAAAAAAATTTAAAAAAAAATAATAATATTTATATATATATATAGGTACACTAATGCGCGGGACGTTGCGGACGTTATATAATTGTACCTATACGAATGTATACGCATACTCGTATGGAATTACGCTTAAAAAAAAAACTATTGACCGCGTCGTCCGAGATTATATAAAAAAAAAAAAAAAAAGCGCAATTTAATTGTATACATATCCTCGCGCAACAGCATACCCCGAAATATTATGTGCGTAAAGGAAGAACGCAAATCGCGGCCGAGTTTTATGCCGCAGCGCCCACTATACACGGGTTACTCGCGTAATGTCGTTAAAACCGCGCATTAGAATTACCACGGACCCGACAATAAGACGTAACGACGCGTCATGATAATAGCACGGTGGCCGCACGCTCTACATTGTACGCGCACGGGTATTTTGACAAAATAGTGCGCGTTCACGTCGTCGCCGGTGAAATTGACCGGTTTTTTTAGGTGAAAAAAATCGCGGGTTAACGCGTCCTCCGTTCGGAAAGAAAATGCCGGACGCGTATGCTTGTCGCGCCGTTGGTGGTGACGGCTATACTCTCTCGGCCCGCGTGCGGAACTCGGAAAGTTACGAAACGACATTGGACAGGTAATCCGGTATGGTAACACGTGCGGATCCACCAGAGTCCGCGAGAGCAACGGTAAATCGTCGCGATCGAAAACCGATTGTAAACGACGGTGCACGGCAGAGCGCACTCGCGTTCGTTGCGTACCGCGCCACCGTTACGGAGTAATACGCCGTTCCTCTTGTACAGCCACGGCAATCGGCAAAAGCCAATCATCTGTGTACCGCCGCCGGTTTCCGTAGGGTTTTACGTTTTCCGGAAAATCCCGTCGGGGGTCTTCAAACGCCTGCGAATACCGGCGGTACCGCGCGACACGGCAGTTTACGACCGTGACGCGATACACGAACCGAGAAAACGTTTCGAAAAAAAACGCGCGTCTCGCGGCGAAACTGTAGCTGCGTTCGGCCGTGCGCACAACACCCGGAACGGGTTGTGGCGGGGGGGGGAGTGTGAGCGGGGAAACGCGACAATTATTTAGCGACACGTAAAGCGTGTAATATTGAGGTATTCTCCTCGTACGAACATGTATTTGTATACGTGTATGCATTGGCTGCAGCGGACGCCCTGCAGTTGTAGGAGCGGAACGAGGACAATGCGAATCGGTTTTTGCGCGCGTACGGGCAGGTACAAAACCTTATGTGTATAATATACGATAGAAAAAAATAATAATAATAATAATAACAGCGGATTCCGGAACGCGCGCACGGTGATTAAAACGTACGTATTATCAACACCGGTAGCTCGGGAAACGCAACGCGCGCCGCACGTTGTTATATTTTTTACACGTCTTTATAAGACGGCCATTCCGCCGCTGCAGGAATCGTACCGCGAGAGCACCACGCAGCGTTCGGCCGGGGGCAGGTGCGACGGCGCGCGGGGTCCGATTTAACGTCCGTGTAACAACGTGTCGATTTTTTTTCGTCCGTTCGTTTTGATCGGACAATAAAAATACGCAACGATACAATACAAAATACGCGTGCGTAACAGTAAAGACACACACACACACACTACACGCGCGAGGGGGGGGGGGAAGAACCACTCGAAAAAAATTGACCAAGGTCGAGACGCGCACCACGGCATAATACAATAAAATGTAATAATTTATACCTGTGCGCGCCTATACGATATCTATATAAATATAGCCGTAAAATATCATTAAAACGTACCGGCCCGTCGGGCCGCGAGATCGATGCATAAAATATCGGCGGTACGCGTCTCGCGAACATGCGCTTCGCGATGTTGGCCTTTGAGACTCGGCTTTGAAATTTCGTGGCATATACGTGTGCGGTATATGATTTATAATAATAATATATATTATATAAATCGGAAAAAAAAAAATAAAAAAAAATAGAAGAAATAATAATAACAAACGATGAATATCTCGTCTTGATTACGGATTTCTTTGGAAAAGCCGTAATCAGACGTGGCGCCGAGATAAAGCACACGTACGCGTCGTCCAACGATCAACCTGCGGATGAGAGGTTAGGCGAAAGACGCATCCTAATTAAAATACGGCCACTGTGGCCTAATATTTAACCTTTTCGCGGGCCGTTATCTACGTATTTAATAAGTTATTGTCTAAAAAATTACAATAATAATACCACTGCGGCGTTATGGGTACCGTATAATATTTATTATGCAGGTGTCTATACATTTAATACAGAGTCCGGCGTTTCGCTCGCGGACGGCAACGCGAAATACTTGGGGCAATGGAGATAATTAAAAGGGGGGTAAAAGGTGCGGAAGAGGGGGCGGTTTCTTTTCGGGAAGACCGCGGAGATTCCGAAGTGCGCGTTAACTCTCGTCTTCCGATGTAATTAACGAAAACTCTCGATTTTAAATCGTCACCCGATTCGATTAGTCCCGATTTATCGAAAGCACAACGAATAAAAACGCTAAACGGTGAATAAAAGATTTGATTTTCCGGGGAAAACATTATAGGCGGGCGACAATTCGTGTCTAGACGAAAAACAATAGACCGCATTGTTACGGTACAATATAAAATAGGACTGTTCGAATCTGCAGGTGTCGATAAAAAATTTTAAAAAAGTCGTTTTCGTCGAGGAAATTCTTACAGCGCACAGGTTCAAAACGTGCGTTTTGTAATCCGCGAACTTTAAAAGGAAAACAAATCCATCCCGATGATATGTTTCGTGTTACACCGGCGTGCAGAGCGAAACGCAATGAGCGCAACTAAATATAACTCAATAACTAAAAATATTAACCAGTAATAAATAAAAAAAAAAAAAAAAATGCTAAAACGTTACCGGATAGAAAAAAGTATTTACCGTACGAGTTTGAACGTACGCGGCTGATTTTCACGTATAACAATAATATTGCGTTCATTTACCTGAAACATAACAAAAGAAAAACCGTTAATAACAATATAAGAAATTATTATAATAAAAAAAAAAGGGGGAATTTTGCTCGAAAAAAAACATTTATAGTTTTCTCTCTAAATCGCTCGTATATAAAGCGTCGCGTTTACGTAGCAGACGAACCGAGGACAATGCTAAATCGTTTTTTTTTTTTTTCATTCTTACAAATAGCCGGTACCTATATTTACGTCTAAAAAAAAAAATCGTATGCATCATTATTGAATGATTTATAATATTATTATATTATAATATTATAGCGCCGCCGTGGGAGACTATAGAACGTCGGTGGTTCTTATCGCGTGTTATTACGGCAACACATCACGATGGCCGAGATTTCGAGGTTACGCTCCGACGAGAGATATTATAATATAATTAAATTAGAGAAACATAATTCTTAATCTACAAAACGCGGTCGATTCCAGGAATCACAAGCCGAGGTTTTTTTTTTTTTCTAATTATTGCTTTTTAATCAATTAAAATTAAATAATTCGTATAAATACGAGGCGAGAACAACTAAATATATAACAGCCGGCCGACGCCGCGGCGGCGCTATAATGCCCGCGGTTGCGGTACACCATGCTCTCGTCTCGGTTATCGTAATAACGGAAACTTTTTTTTTACTGATATAATATCATTATGCATGTAGACCCGCGTAATAATAACGGCGTAGAAAAAAAAAAAAAAAAGGACGGACATACTTTGCACATGGATACGGTCACTATATTGTAGTTGGAAAGTCGGGAAGGTAGGATACAGGGATACAGACGGGAATTTAATGTCTATCTGTAGAGCAACGATAAACCATTGCTAACGAAAAAACGATTCTGAGCGGAGTTCAGTTATTGATAACGTTGCTTTGTCAACAATAATATGTCATATTATGGTAACCTTATTTTTAATCTTTCAATCTTTTTTAACCTAAAGAACCCGGTTTTCATTATTATCTCGAATATTAATGAAAACTTCAAAAAATGACCGCTCTAAAGTACCATCCGGAGAACATTTTATTTCAGAAAAAGCGCTATGCTTAATAATCAGAATAAGCTTTCTGGTAGAAAAAGTGTTTACATAAAAAAAAAAATTAAAAAAAAAATAATCATTGAAAAATCAATGCATTCCTCGGTCCACTCAGAATCTAAAAAAAAAAATATCGCAATAACAATATTATGTCATTCATGTGTTTTTTTTCCCCCCCGTTTAATCTTTCCGGTTTTTATTATTTTTATGAATATTTGCGAAACGAAATTCTTCGCATTTTGTAATGCGCACCGAGTTTATTTTCTACCTTGTGATTACGAGAGTCAATGACGAAAACCCAAGTTTTTCTCCCCTACGATTTTTAAACAATTTCGTCTTTGCAGTGTTCAACATGATCCGCCGAGTGTTTCGTCCGTTTCCGTTATCTTAGGAATCTTGTTTGTCACGTCGGTCGTCGCTGAACACGGGACAAAAGTCTTATTAATACCACGTTCGCGGATTTTAATATGACGTTTATTTATTTTTTTTTCGATTTTTCAAATCTTTCGAGTGCTCATCGCGCGGCACTCCGCGGGGGCTTTAAAACGCTACAATTCCCGAACCCCCCAACCCCTCCCTCACCGCCCCGCCACCGAGTTAATCGTATAATAGTAATAGTAACGATGGCCGCGTTATTCATACGCGATTACGATACACATAATGTCGGGTAATATGTTATGCGCATTACGAATACGAACGTCGCGAGCGACGGTCGTTCCGCAAAAGACCCGGTTCCGGGGACGTGGCGGGAAATATAAATGAATTACGCGGCAGCGGTGTCGTAGTAGGTACGT